TCTAGGTAAAACAAATGAACCTAACAGGAAAATTGTTAACCTTACTGTGTGTAATGTATGTCTCAAAGGGAGACAGATTCCTTGACTCCTTTAAAAAGCTGTCTTCTAAGGAGGGTTCCTAAAAAGGCTATTGAGAAATGGTTTTGTTCATCTCCCTCTCTTCTGAGGTACCCTACTTCCATCAGGGAGGAAATGTTTTCTGAAGATCACCATAGCTCTAATCCCCATGCCAGCAAGTTTTCCCTCCTCCCTGCCGAAAGGAAAACATCTACTGACTTGTGTAGGGCCTACCCAAGGGTACCCGTCGGTCCCTCTGCTAACAGCACAGCACTAACTCCGCAGTGGCATTTAGGAGCTGTTTAACACACTCAGCAATGCGTATGTTCGCTGCAGTTTAAGGGAGAAACTAAACTAGATGGAGATAGGGGCTTCCAGGGACCGAGGAGGAGGAGGAGGAAGAGTATCGTCTGAGCAAGCCCTGGTCCCTGTTAGTCACTTGTAAGGAACAGCAACAGAGTTGGGTAACTGGAGGAGTGTTCGTGTTTTGCCAGCTGAACTTGCTGTACCTATCTCTCACTCTCCCTCCATTGCTGTAAATCCCTCTCTGGTGTGGCAGTTTTACCCAGAATTAAACACAGCTTGCCTCTGTGTCTGACAGGCCCGGAGCTGACATGCTAAGGAGCTAAGGCATATGTTAAAAATAACTCACTTCAAATGCATGTGTGTGTGGCCACAGTTCTATGTTTTAGATATCTTATTCTTTTGCTGCTGCATAAATAGACTTTGACAAGGTTTAACACACACTGAACTCTGCCTTTTGCTCCTGTAAACTCTGTGTGTGTGTGTGTGTGTGTGTGTGTGTCAGGGGGCATCCCATACATGCCCACATCCACACATGCTTCAGTCATCATGCATTTTGCCATGTTGGCCTTCACTGATGTTCATGTACTTTCAAAGCCTTGTGATGCAGCACTGAGGGTGATCTGTGCTCCTTCTATAACAACAGCAGCTATTTTACCCCTCTTTTCCTGGGTTCCTGGAAACCCCAGAAGGTGTATACCTGAGTTGAGTTGCAAATGAAGTGAGCAGGAGCTTTAGGAGCCCAGTTTAGATAACTACAGAAACCAAGGTAGGATAAGAAAGACATATCAAAGAATTGCAGGCCTGTGTACTATGCAGCAGGGGACATAGATATATTTGTGCTATTAAGCCTTCTGTACAAGGGAGGTTTCTGCAAAAATAATGTCTTCTGGCAGTATCATAGCTCAGTACCTAGCATTGAAACGCAGAGAGTTGGAGGCCCATGAAAGAGGGTCACTCTGAATTCTCTCCTGCCTTGAAAGCAGGACAGCCAACAGCTCCTGTTCAGTGCCTGATCTCTTCTAAGCTGCAAAAGAAGCCTATAAAAAAATTCACCCTGTGCTTGGTAGTAACAGTGCAGCAACCTCCAGGCTTTATGAGTGCTCAGGCTGGATTTTCCCATTTCCGTGAGCAGACAGGAACATCCCAACAGCATGATGTCATGCAACAACTTTGTCTTTCACAGAGCTGTGAAACGTCCTCATGTGGGGGCCAGGGCCTCCTACACCCAAAGCACACGTGAGCATCGGGGAGTGAGACAACCACAAAGAACTGGCTGTGGAGTGTGGCTCAGGCTGCCAACTCCTGGAGCAAATCAAAGCAGGAGAGATCCTGAGCCAGATGACGCTGCTGGCAGAAGCACCCCCCTGTCAGCATATAAAGAGTTTATCTTCTGTACATGGCTCCTGGTCCTGACATGCACCCAAACACCCTCCTGCCTCTCTGTGGGTTGGGTTAGCACCAGAGACCCTGCAGAGAGTGTTCTGCCAGATGTTTGCAGGCTTTTGGTAGAGTCTTTGGATAACATTGAATCTTCTTCCTCAGAGACTCTAACCCAGAGAATTAAATCATCACTGCGTGTTATCCCTTCTAAGAAAGAGCTGACATTACCAATATCCCAACTATGAGCCAAAGTTGGCCCTACTTTCCCACTGCAGCCAGAAATGTGTGCTCAATATGTAGAAAAAATTCAAATGGTCAAGCCATCCCGAGAGGACTTCCCTACAATATTGATAGACCTATGTAAGGATTATTTTGTCAGCAACCTTAGCATGTAATGCCAAAGTTACTCAGCTTTACAGCTCTCTAGTGTCAAGACAACAGATGTGTGTGTATGAGACTAGTGTGGCTGGTGCTGTCAGGTGTCTAGATGTGTGATTACAATTCAGCTCCACAAGCTCCTGTCAGAAGTAATAATTCCCTTGCTCTTCCATTTGCATTTCAGTTTGTGTTTCAGAAGATTAGGGAACTTGTCCTCTCTTCAAAGACAACACTGGAAACTGCTCACTGTGTTCTTGAGGGCTCTGCCCATCTTCCCAGGCTTCCTCGTGGGTTCAGGATTTATGTAGCTGTTAGTGAGCACAGAACCCTGCTCATCTGTCAGAAGCAGTTCTCTTGTACTTACTGTTTATAACATCTGCGAATTATCCTGACTTCTAGGATATCCCTTCCATGGTAGCTCTGTTATGTCTAAGGGATGCAGGCAATACCCTAGAGCACCTTTTCCTCACAGGTGAGCAAGATAGTGCAGTGACTTCTCTCTCTTACTGTGTGGGAGTAGCTGTGTGGAACATGCATGGGCTCTGGGTGGAAAGGACCTTGCATAATCCTCAGAAGCAGCAGCTACAGGTACTCCATCCCTCCTGTCAAGCAACAAGTATATTAGCGTGTCTTGTGGTTTTGCATGGAAAAGGGACCTTTGTTTGGAAGACCAAATGGAACGTTGCATGTTAGGGCTTCAGAAAAGTGAGAATACCAGAGGCTTGGTACTTTGCCAAACCTGCTATGAGGTGCCAGTGACAGCGTTTCCACAAGGATGACTTGCCAAAGGCCTCATGGCCTCTTTGAGATCCTGTCTGATTCCTACAGGCAGATTTACTGGGGAGTGATTCTGCAGCCTCTCCATGTGCACATGGCACACACGGATATGGTGGTGCAAAGTCCCCACCACAGCACAGCTCCTTCTGTCCCCGATAGGCTCCTCCACTGATGTGCAGCTTCCAGTGAAGATAACAATGTCAGATCCTAACCATCTTAAAATAGTAATCTTTCCCTCCTCCCACCTTTCTGAGTGAGGTAAAGAAGGTTTTTTTAAAACTGGCACTTGTTAATGGTTTTCAAGGATGTCAGCTCAATTACTTGGTTTGCTCTGCTGCTTTGTTTGTGTGGACTGCTTTTTTAAAAAAACAATTATGTCAGAACTAGAAGCAAAATATCAACTGTAGAGGCAAGCTGGGTCATACCCAGCTGCACTACAAAGAACAAGAATATGTTCAGCTCTCAGATCGCAATTGTTAGCAGGCACAAGACTCTTCATCTCTGTTACCTCTACAGGCTCTTCTCTCTAGACTGGCTTTCCTTTGACAGCTTATATTTGAAGTGTCCAGTGCTTTATCTTCTAGTGTTTTCTATTGATTTTGCTCTCTTATGCTAGTCCTTTATTCTTCTGTAGGTCTTTCTCTTCTGTTATGTCCCTCACAGATCTGAATGGGTTTCATGGGTTACAGCAGCCCTGGCCAACAGGACAAAGTTGGCTATTTAGGTGCACCGAACATCTGCAAAACGGAAATTCACGTGCACTGAATAATATCTTGGATGAAGTACAGTAGCCCCAGATTTCTTAGAAACATGGGTGTCATGGCAGCTTACAAGATTCAGATTCAAAGCTAGAGTTGTCCTTTCCCAGAATGTAGCAGTGTTCAGATCTGGGATTATCTCTACATCATCTGTATAAAAATAAGCAAGCAGGAAATTCAACGCCCTTGTGAGTTTAATTTTGAAGTTCTTAAAGAGTAGGAATGAAAAACATAGAAGTATGTCTTTCTGTCTGCCATCGTTGGTTTTCGTTACTCTATTTTTGAATGAGTCTTATTTTCAGCCTAAAATATGAAACAAATAATAGATTTGAGAATGAGATAAGGAACTCAGCCTTCTCACAAGTGTCTTTTCTGTCTACGCTGCTGGTTGGCTTCCAGACATAGTTTGGCTCTACCTCAGGCTCAAAGGGTGGATCCTCACACAACTTTGAAAACTGGCAGTGTACATGTTTACATGTAGCCGTCTAGATGCTTTTTATAGTTGGCAGAGCAAAATAGGCTTCTCTGGTGTGTGACTTGTCTTACTATGAGGTAGACTGTCACGTGGGGTACTTTGAAGGCGTGTTATGCTTTGGAGATGTGTCGTACTTTGGGACCCGTTGCTTACAGACAACGCTTGGCTATCCAACCCATATGTACTCATCTGTACTCTGGGTGTCCAGAGTTGGTTCCTGCTCCACCCATGAGGAGCAGACACTCAGGAGGAATGGAGCATTGGTTATCTACTGCTGGACTGACTTGTATTTCCTCCATTTGTGTGGACATGCACGAAAGACCACTTGGTCTCTGCTTGTCAGTGCAGTGAGAAGAATGAAGTTCTGCTCTGCTAAAGAGCCCCAGAGCCAATGTCCATGCCCCAGTGGGTACTTGCATGCTAGTGATGAGGGTGGTGGGTGCATGTGAGCTAGGGAAGGGGCTCTTACTTAAACTTTCCCATGGTGTAGCTGACACCAAGGCAAGGAGCAAGCTGGAGTGCAGCTTACTGGACTAGGACCAACAGTGGTGAAGAAGGAAAGCCTGGGACAGCCCTCGCTCACGCAGCCAGGGCTACACTCCTGGCAGTGCCCAAAGTGGCGAGACTGGAGCTTGCTGGCGTGAGATGGGTGGGGGTGTCTGCACAGGCTGCCTGCTGGGAGGTGGTGCATGTACTCATGGGGCTGCACGGCCAAGTGACCAGGCACTGTGTGAAGCAATGAGGGAGGTGCGTGGTTTACGCCCACTAAAACTTGCCTTCTCTGTTGAAAATAAGAGAAAGGAACAGAGGACTTCCAGGAAATTAAGAAACTGTCAAAACCAGGTGAACCTTTTCACCTCTCTCTCCAGGTCGCTACCCACAGCAAAATAAAGGCACCTACATCCAAATCCTAGTAGGTAATGTGCTGAAACCTGGCGAGTGGGGAGCCAAGATTATCCACAAGGAGAACAACTCCATTTGTCTGTCCATCATGTCCTCTGCCACCTGCATCATTGGGAAGTTCCGCCTGTACGTTGCTGTCGAGACTCCCTTTGGCATCCTCCGGACACAGAGAAACGCAGCAACCGACACTTACATCCTGTTCAACCCCTGGTGCCAGCGTAAGTACTGTATCAGAGTACCAAAGTTTCACACTTTCTACTACCAGGCTCACCAGGTTTGGGGAGGGGGTGGTCCAAGAAGGGGAGCTTGGTAGCAAAGAGATTGGAGACATGCCAGTTTGGGTCTGAAAATTACATAGTAACTCTGACAGGAGGCAAGTCTTTCTGATGGGGAATAGTCCTGTGTGAGCAGGGCTCCCTGCTGCACAACTGTGCCTGAGCTGTAGCTGCACACTGCAGTTCTATGAGGCCAAGCCTATGTTTACCAGCTTGGGCAGTGCAATGATACTTCATTTCTCCTAGTAAATATGCCCCAAGGCTTTGCTCTGACTTTATTAGGCATCAAAGTGAGCCTCCTGTCTGCCTGTGTGTTCCTTGAACTGACAAGTCAACAGGGACATGTTTTTTTCCAGGATTTAGTGTGGGGCAGGATGTGGCAGTGTCCTATACTCTGTTGAATTACATTGCTGATTGCCACACTTAGGATTGAACATCTGCAGCTTTCACCTGCAGGAATTCAGTGGGAGCTGCTGCTCCTGCACAGGTTGGATGGAGTCAACCTGCTGTGGCATCACTGGTGGTGCCTTCCTGCCACTACACATTTGCCCTTATAACTTCCCCTTTAGTGGTGATGGGTTACCAGAGACCCTGTCTTCTGTGAGGAACAGAGCATTTTCCAAATGAGCCTTTTTTTTATAATCCAGTGGGTGGAAGAACAATTTTTTTTTTTTTTTTAATCTCCCTGGATCCTACGTAAAATCAGCCCTTATGCTGGTGGATTGTATTTTACCGAATGAACTCCATGTGTGACTTTAAGGAGAGGGCAAGGAGGACTGGAGAGGTTTGGCTCAGCCTTCTGACAGACTGCATCACTGTGTTTCAGCTTCCAACACTTGTAAGGCTCCAAGTCATATATATTGCTATATATTTAGGTCACCAGATAACTTTAGTATTCTCCCGCCACCCTTCCTTCATCTTTCAATTTTTTTACCATAGTATTTGCATCAAATAATTTTATACGAAACAAGGACCATCCTACCGAGTGATGAGTAAGTTTAGCATTTATTAATTGAGTCCATTATTCAGCTGTACTACTGTCAGTACATTGAATGATTTGTGCTGAATTCATTACTTGCCCCTGGTCCAAGGCAATATAAGAAGTGATTAGTTTATACATTATTTAGGAAGATATATGTTAATGCTGAGTAAAGCGTAGTTAGTTGAGCAGGAACAGGAGGGAAGGGCAAGGCCCAAGGCCCCGCAACACCGTGAGACACTTCTGAAAGCAGCATAGAGGTAGGTATCTTAGAGCAGCATGCTAAGAATTTAGTCTGGGAGAGGAGGGAGAGTGTGTAACAGAGAGGAGACATTAGCAAAGATAAGGCCCTCTGATGAGCAGACAAAACTGCTCAAGGTTTGTGAAGGCATCACCAGCCTGTCACAGTTCCAGCTAGGGAGGTGCAATTCTCTGCCCCAAGATAGAGCATCCCTTGGCTTTAGTCCTGGGTATCGTAACAGCCAGTTTGTTAGCTAGCATGGTGACTCTGCAGTGGCCCAGCACCTCTTTGGAATGGATAAACCCCAAAGAAAAGCTTCTTGAATTGCATCAGGTTGCCTCATGACTAGCATACAACCAGCTAGGGCTGCATACAACCCTAATGTGGAAAAACAATGTGACGTGGTGGGCATGACTTCCCCACTGTGGTGTGACTGGGATCACACAGGCTGATGAAAAGTGCTGATCAGAGAGTGGGAAGGGGAAAATCGATCCCTTCTTCACTTCTCCTTCCCCACCAGTCCTGTGTGCTGACTGATCTACCTCTGTTCTTGGCACAAGGGCTCTCCTGTGCCCCCCACCACCACCACCTGAGCTGAATGGGGCCAAAAGCCAGCAAGATTAAAACCACGACATGGGAGAAAACCCACAGGGAGCAAGACATGCAAGCAGTTGCCTCCAGCAGCAGACATTGGCAAGGCAGACAGAAAAGCTCTGCTTCAGGAAAGCAAAAGGATGTTCTGTGTGCCCCCAGGCCCAAGGGAGGCAAGTTGGGGTCGCCCCAGGAGAAACACATTTTTGTCTCCAGCTTATGTGTTCAGGTGTGTCTCAATGACTTCAGGTCCTGTTCCTTGCTGACTATTGTAGTTTTTGTTTTCTGCATGCTTCATTTGTATTTGGATTTTGATTTATTCTTATTTCTTGCCCCTACTTTTTTTTTTACTTCTAGGTAGTTTGGGCTAATTGGCTCCTATATCTGCCTTTTCCCCCTTTCCTTGTCTTAGAAAACCAGGGACTGTTTCTCCATGCTTTATCCCCTGGCTGGAAAAAATTGTTCAGTGGAATGACAAAAGGGTATAAAATCTCAGGCAGTTAAAGTACAGAGAAGACAATAGTTTGAAAATCTCCCAGGCTTGTTTGCTGGGTTAATAGCTAAGCAGAAAAGTCTGAGTGAAAAGCCTCATTAAAAAGAGAGAAGGCTGATGCCAGGAATGAATGGGGATTGTTATTGCAGGGAGCAGAGTATGGGTTCTGTCAGTGTCTAGCGCAGCTTTCCGACTCATCATTTTGGAGAAACATCAATGTGTCAGTATGAGCTTTCCTTTAAGACAGAGGCATTTGTGCCCGTTCTTATTACTCTTTTTCTTGCTGTAGCTCAGTTTTGACATATCTTCCCAGCCAGGGCTGTGTTCTTTTTTCTGCTGTTTCACAACAAGTTTGAATACTTCACCAGTCAAGCCACAGGGTACTCTGCTTCCAAAATCATCAGATGCTTTTATATATTTTAATTCCCTTAGCTACATTTAATGCTGATCACCAAGAACACTTTAAGAATGTAGATGCAGGGCCTGATCCTGAAAAATTGTATAGACCAGCCCCAAACACCTAGGAAGTCAGCAAACTAGTGGATTGAGATTTCAGAGTCTCAGGTGAAATTTGCATTACTTAATAAGCAAGGAAAAGCCTGTGAGGAGAAGCAGCATCTTGTCTTCAGCCAGCTAACATAGTTGGGAAAAACAGATGTGCTTTTGGGCATGCAGAGACCTCTTCGGTCCTGAAACAGAAGATACAAATGGCAAGTAGTTAAGGATAACTTCTTGGAGTTAAACTTAACACGTAGCAGTATCAGACTACATGAAAGCAGAGAAGGGCTCCTTTGATCTGGGTATTGGGAGCTCTTCCTAAGGAGGCGCTGAGTCCCAGAAACTTTCTGCTGGTTAACATTCAGTGCTTATTGGGAAAAGGCCTTGTGTTGACTTGGATGCCTCTCTCGCAGGTGGAGATGCGTAGTGTATCTGAGTAAGTTACAGACCCTGTGGGCTGATGTGTGTGTTTCATTCACCCAAGCCTCCTGCAAAGTGCATTCTATTGAAGCAATTAAATATATTGCAACTTTAGTGAGTCAGCTGCACACTTCTTCTGCTTAACTGTCCTGATAGAGTGTGAGGATTAGTAACATGTGCTTGACTTTGGACGCCTCTCACGTGTTGCCAGTCATCCAAATTTGGCCCAATAACATTTTCTTGCACTTCTAGCTAAATCTTAAATTTGATCTCTTGTATCATAGATTCCACATGGGTAAAATTCACACAGAACTTCATCCTTTTGCTACATTAATGTAGTCAAGCACCAGCAGTTGCAAAGCAGCGTACTGATCTTGGTCCTGGGTGGAGTGGGTTTTGTAGATAACTGTATTTAGCCTTTGCAGCTCTGTGTTTGCCACAGCACTGTCCTCTTCCCAGGTAGATCCCTGGGAGTTTTGTGGTTCCAGCGAGGCCCAGCCTTGCATCCCTGGCTTCCCAGGGAAGCATGTTGAAGGGAGGCTGGGTGCTCAGGGCAAGCCTGTGGTCTCCAGCCTGCTGGTGCTGCTGTGCTCAGCCATCCCTGTCTGTGCAAAGAAATAACATTTCCAGCTCCAGGCGGTTGCTGTGCTAGGGATGGGGTCCCCCCATAGTAGGGAGAGTCCTTTCTTGCTCATCCACCTTCCCAAATTGAAAGGGCTGCCCTGCATTCCTCATCTCTTTTACAAGCAGTCTGTGTTTAGCGGGATTCTTTTCCTCACCTGCAGTACTGTCTTCCTGTGAAGTGTATTTTCATCTTACTCATCTTCAGAGAAGCATTGAGGCTAATTTGCTTCTTTGTAGCATTGCTAGTGTCTTGGTAATTTCCCAGGATAAAAGAAGTGAGTAAAAAAAACTCCCTAAACTGCTAGAGAAAAAGAGCAAACAAACCCAGCACATTTCCGTGGAATTCTGTTTGTCAGATGTGAGTTTCCACTTGCACAAAATAATTAGGAATTGTACTATGTAGAGCACACTTAGCATCAAAGTAGTCACAAATACCTCATGTTTTTCTCTAAACAGTCTCAAGGGTAGTGAAAGCTGTCAAAAACCAAAGCATCTGGCTTCTCTGTGAAACACAGAAGACCTTTTTACTTCATCAAAAAATACAGATATTTTAGAATAATTGACAGAGAAGTTCATCAACTGTCATCTGATTTAGCAGTGATCACGCAGTCTCCAAATAACATATGCATTTCAGTTGATACCAACCAGACCAATATTGATATTTTCAATCCCTGAAAGAAAGGAACAGCTGTCAAGAAGGCATATGCACACACGCCACTGAATATGTAACTGTACAGAAAAAGATGTGAGTTCTTCTTTAAATGAATTCTCTGTCCCATTTTTGTGGATTTGCTTTAATAAAATCCAAAGTTCAGTGAGCGAATGCATATAATTGTTCAATCAGCAAATCAGGCAGATACAGCCTAATGAAACAGAGCCTAGATGATCTGTAACATCTGCAATTTTTAGTGGTGTGTTATAGAGAACTTATTTAGAGCTGGGAGTTGGTCCTCGAAAAAGTAATGTAATATACAGTTTCATAAGTATGAGAGTGCCTGCTGGCATAAATAACTACAGCTTTTTGATTCACTGACAAGTTTTAGTGTTCTCTCTCACCTGATAGCCCCTGAATATAATAAACTCGGTCTTCCACTTTGTGCCTGGATACAGGTTGACTAGATCATGGGTAGTGACAAGCTGATAAAGAAACTTCTTGATATCCCAGCTGGGCAAATACCACCACCCCACCAAATGCAAGAGCAGGTCTCAGACCTGCCCACCTTAGGGAAAATCCAGTAAAACCTGCTGCTTCTCTGTTTGCTTGGATTTGGACGTAGTCTGCAGAACCTGTACAGCAACCCCATCAAAAGCGTAATGACAGGCACTGATCTCCTCAAATGCAATAAAGGTTTCTTACATCTAACACCTGTTTCCCTATCATTCCTTGCACACCAATGTGGAGGTCATTATGTTACATATCTATGCATAATTCCTTCTGTATATATAGACATAGAGATATAAATATATCTTCAGAGAAGACAAAACTTCCAACAGGATCAGGTGTGTAGACTGGCAAAAGCCTCAACCTAGCTGAAGACAGTGTGAGTTCTGTCATTGATTTTTTCAGAGGACTCAGATTTTAGCTTATTTTCAGCCAAATTGCAGTTTTATGGGCAAATGAAGAAGCTTTTGAAGATGAGGTTTACAAGGAAGTACAAACCTGATTTGCATTTCAACAAAATACAACAAATCAATAGGCTTTTAAAAGTGAAATGGTCCTCTAGTAATTTGTAGTGGGATGTTGAAGAAATCCACTATGGCAGTAGTGAGTGGTAGTTTTGTACTTGTCTGTATCAAACTATCAGAGGTTATTTTTTCCCTTTAATTTGCGATCTGGTGCCACATTACTGATTTCCTTAAATTAATCAATTCCCATACTATTAGTTGTTAAACTGTATCTCTTAGTTTCAAAATACAAGCATTGGTACAGGAAAGAAATCCTCAACTATTCTAGCATCACAGAATCATGACCTTCTTCATACTTACCTGTGAACGCCCAGGTAGTTTCATGTCATTCAGGGTTATTTATGAATGTTAATAGTGGGTTATTCATGTGTGTGAATCATGTTTGCAGGCTGAGGGTCCATGCATATGCTCTTGACCCTCAATATAAGACCAATCTAGGATATATCCTTTGTATACATTTTGATAAAAATTTCTTCCAATTACTTCAAGTTTTCACTTGGACACTTGAATTTCTTCTTATATTATCTGGTCAGTCAAGCTACAAGGGGGAGGGATACTCTAGTCAATAACTTACGTACAAAAAATGCAATCAAACTCTTCTGTTTATACATTATAAAACTGTATTCTATTTTTTTTAATACACTACAGATTTTTCTTTAGATCTCTTGACTTGAGCTGTTTTCCATTAACATTAATAAATTTGAAATTGTTCTTTGATCTGTTTGTGCAGATGCAGAATTGCGTCATGGTGCTCCAACTTTTAAATTAGTGGTACACAGTAATCATAAAAATTCTTGATAAGACATGGCATTTTAATCATCCTTTACAGATCCTGAGAACAGGCAGGAGTTGTCAGCATTTTTCCATCTTCTATACTTTTAAGTTGTGTATTGTATTCCTAACTGGGGTCACTACCACTATTCTTGCACTCTGTTGAAGCAGGTAGTGCTTTGTTTGATGGAAGAGTGGTACTTTTCATCAAAGATGACTGTATTATAGACTAAGATTTTTTTATCTGTCCCATATGAAAACTAAGCAACTGTGTTAACATTTATTTTCGGTAAACTGATACAGAGGATGCCGTGTATCTGGATGATGAGAAGGAAAGGGAAGAATATGTCCTGAATGATGTTGGTATTGTTTTCCATGGAACCATCGACAACATAAAGTTAAGAAGCTGGAGTTACGGTCAGGTGAGCTATTTAGATCTCCTCTGGCGGCTCCCAGTAAGACAGCAAGTGAGTTTAATTCACAACAGACTGTGGTTGAGACTGTGGGCTCTGGAGTGCATTATCGATCTCTCCTTCAGAAAGGCAAGGGGCATAATTTTAAAATTGTATGAAGTGGGTATATGCCTAATTCAGCAAAGCAATATTATAATAGCTAACATTTAAAAATCTTGGTTTAGGGGCATATTTCAGATACTAAGAGGCTGCCTACTGAAAGTTAAAATCATTAGCTGAGATTTCCACAGGGCAGCAGTACTTCTGCTGCTATGTTGTCACTGCTTCAGGATCAAACCAATTTGGTGAAAGAGTAGAGGAGGTTTTTGTCATTTTGTTTTGTTTGTGGTTTGTTTGTTTGTTTTTCTTTTTTCAGCAATAGATTGTATTGCTTTTTGGCTCTTCCTTTTGGTGGAAATAATTCTGATCTTCTTGGGGGTCAGTTTGTCACAGGGATCCTCTGACAGACTGGAATTTAATCCCAGAGTTCTACATTTCCTCACTACAGTGGCAAAGGGGGGGACCTCTCCCTTTGCGGCCTGGACTAGACAACACCAGTGTCCAGTGGCCTCTTGCAGCCCAGGGGTAACATCCCCTGCCAGGCTGGTGGGCAGTATTGGTGTGCCTTCAATAACATCAGACTTACTGCTTGCCTGTTTTACCTCAAGTTGCTTGTAAGCACTAACCAGCCTGAAAATCCCTACGGGATGAAAGAGTCAAGTTGTGTGAGAACAGGAAAAAGGCATTAACAAGCAGAATCAAAATGAACAAAATTAACCCTAGATGTTACTCAGAGGGGCTCCAATGGACAGTTATTGGACATGGTGAACTCTACTCATCTCACCTCCTGGATTTTCGGAACAGCACAATTGAGAAAGTATTGTAGTATTTCCTTATTGCTATGGTGAAAGATCCATTCAGTTTTTGTGGACCTACCCAGTACAAGCTTGCAGAAGGGGCCACCTTGCTTTGCTTTCTTTCCCTCAGCTAAAGACAATCTCAAAGCTTGAGCTGGATGGATTGCCAGTGTGCTTGCCCTGGAGAGCTCTTTGAACTCACATCTCTCTTGTTACCTTATTTAAGGGTACAGTATAATCTTTTTTCCTGCAGCTGCACTGCCTTAGGGAGTTCTTGTCTCTGCACCATTCCTTTGGCTGTGTCAGTGCTGTTGTTTGTGGGGTCTGACTGTCATCCTGGCTGAGATAAAAATAACCTTCAAATAAGGTAGTGGGGGAAAGCAATTCCATAAGCTGATGCTGCCTCTGATATAAGAGAAGTGGAACCAGATCCTGAGGCCAAAGCTGGGTGTGCATTTAAGTTGACCAAAAATGCCCCCTCCTGGCCCTTCCTTCCCCCTGCAAGTGCTTGTGAAGCCATGCAGTGAATCAGGCTGAAGAGCTGATCTAGCTGAATAAGCAAGCATATCCCTGATTTTTTTTTTTTTTTTCACCCTGGGTTATTTTTTGGGCTTTCTCTGTTCTCAGATTTGGGATTCACTCTATGACAGATGGAAGGGGGAGGGAGAGAGGGGAATGAGTGGCTGGAGGTAGAAGTTGCTGCTTAAACCAGCTGCTGGATTTATGTCCTAAGATGATAAATTTATGGCCTATGGTGGCTTGGCCCGAGGTACTTATATTCTGCAAGTGTGGCACCTTCCTGACACAAAACACCAGGCTCCCTTGAGAAACTGCATTATTTATTTGGTTTTACTAGGAGGTAGTTCTGTCTGGGAGGTTAGGGCTGTTCCATAGCTCTTTGTCATGTACTTTCATTCCTGTGTTGTCTGAAATTGGAGGAGCTCATTTCCACACTATGCTGTGGTGCACCTTTTGCTATCACTTGCCTGTGTGAAAACTGAGTGTGGTAGATGCATCTAAGGGGGCCCAAGACAAGAGTTTTAATGGAATTGATCATTTTGTATGGGTGTAACAGACATCTCAAACTGCAAAGCAATGGAGAAATATTCTTCTCGTTCCCTCACTTTCAGCGAGATAGAGGATGTGATGTTCCTGACCTTACCCTGACAATTTCCAACCATTTAAAAAAGCAGCTGTCTTATTTTCAGCAATTCTGGATGTTAAGAATAAGTGCATTGCTGTAAGTAAGTAAAAGTACTAGCAGCAAGGCCTGTATTATGGATAGAACATACATGTATACATTTTGAATTTGTGATATATAGCCCTGTACAACAGTGTAAGTAAAAAGCATAAGGCCACATACAGACAGAGAGGTGAAAGGTATATGGCCATATCCAAAAATATAGACAGACTTGTGCATGGTAATAGTCTTAGGCTAAAAAACTGCTTTGAACAATGACAGCTGGAAGCTTTAACTCAGGCTGTAAATTTAAAAGGAACATACAGTTCAAAACTGGGTTACTAGTGAGAGATGATTCTCACAGCTGCTGGCTTTAACATCAACATGAGAGGAGGAAAGGCAAGAAAAATGGACCAAGGAAGAAAAAACAACAGACCTGTTGAAAATGAATGAGGATGGATGTGTTCCCTGTAACATTACTGTGATTCCTGTCTTCTACGAAAGCATAACTAGCTAGTCACTCAGAAAAGCCCACAGGGGTTTGAGGGGAAATTTGGCTTTGGAAGAAATCTAGACACATAGGAATTCTCTAGCTGAGAAATGTCAGAAGTTGGATGCTAGACTGATCATTTAACCTTTTTTTTTTCTGTGAGAAAAATAAATTAAAACAGGTGGGCATAGAGTTCTTGTTTCCATTGTGAGTTGTCTTGTGTCCGCACATTGAGCTGCATTAGCTTTGCAGTCCACTGTGCAAATGTAATTTTATGGCACATGCATTTGGTCAGATCAGACCATAGGCAATGTGTGATCACACCAGCCTGCAACCAACTGTTAGAAATACAGCCCTAATTCAACCAGTGCAAAAGGTCCTCTTACTTTGATTTAAACGGAAGGTCACCTATTAGAAACAGGTGAGCATGAGAGAAGATGCCCACTGAACGCCAGCCTGACTAAATGTATTGCTCTGTAACACAAATCATGTCCGTGTGCAGACAGAACCCCTTTGCCTGTGTGTTTTCTCAAGCTTTGTTTTTCATCTGCAGTCTTTCCCAGGTGCCTCTGCCAAAGCTCCTTGGTCCTGAACTTGGCTTATTTCCATTTCAACCTGTGCTGAGCAGGCAGTGTCTGCGCCTGACCCAGGTTCGCTCACCTGTCCTGGCTGCCGACTGCTGCTCAGGTTCCTTTGACATTTTAGGGCTGTTCAGCCTCACAAGTGCTATGCTTCTATTCCACTTCCCTCTCGATATCATTTTCATGCCAAGAGTGAGAGCAGGAAGCTGATTTAGTTTGATTTAATGTTTTTTAGATCCCTGTATAGTGAAGAAGAGTAAAACTGGCTTTAGAGTTAAGGTTACTCTGCATCCTACACTACTGTAACAGTGTAAAGCAGCTAGACTTTACAGCTTGTTCTAGATCTTCTCATGTTAATCCAGTTATTTCACAAGCATTCATGTAATTTTGTAAATGATAAAGTGGAAGGCAACAACCCTGATAGTAATTTCTTTCCTCTTTATTCTTTCTGTATATGCTGGCAAGATTGACAGCATCTCATAAACTGTAGATGAGAAATATTTAATTTACAGAGTAAACTTCTTGTTGATGTAACTCAGGTTTTAGGCACTGCTGATGACCTGAAGTGCAGAAAGCAGATTTTGATCCTGGTGAAAGTGATAAATCATTGGGCCAAACCAGAAGAAATGTGAACTTGAAGCAGGAAGGGTTGCTATGAGGGCCCAGAGTTTACATGGTCTGTTATGAGGATTCTGCTTGGGAAGGAGAGTCTCCACAGAATGGTCATTCACCAGAGATTATTTACATCACATGCCAGTGGATTGGACTGGAGAGTTTACCATGCAATTATTCTGCTTCCCAGGGATGATATAATATTAGGAGTATGTCCCCGGGAAACACTGACCCCTCCTTCCCTATCTGCCCAAACACCATGAATTCAGTTTTTCTCAGACTATAAGATGTTACTCACTAGTGAACATCTGCTCCAGAGAAAGCAATTCAATGCAGGTGTGAGTGATGGTGAGAGAGGGGTGTTGCCTTGGAGGACGTTTGCTGAAAAGGATCCATATGGCAGTGGTACCCTGAGCAATGAGAGCCAGGCAGGCTCAAGGCAGAAGCAAAGAAAAGGGCTTTCCTTGGCCAGGAATTGGCTGAGGGTGGTGATACACGGTGATGCCCCCACCTTCTTGGCTTATACCAGAGCTCAGCTGCTGCCTGGGATGTCACCCCCCATACTTCCCTTCTTCCCTGCAGCATCAGCAACAGCCTTGACTTCGGGGCTTCCTTTTCATCTCTCTGGTTTCAATTTTCCTTCTTCTCTGCCTCTCCCTGGGTTGCCAAATCAGCAGCTTGGCCTGGGCTCTTGCTCACTTCCTTCAGGAGGCAAAACTTAGATCGCTCTCACCTGACAAGGAGCCCTAAGCCAGGCTGGAGACAGTTGCAAAATCAATCCAGCCCTAGCAGCAGTATGAGAGCAAAAAATCCTGATAGTGTAAATCATATCTTTAAGGATGCAAGCATAGAATATAAAACCTAACACAGCAAGGGTATGAGCTCCGTGGAGTTTCTTTCACAGCCTTGGATGTTAATATAAGATTGTGTATCTAGAAGATATTTGTTTTATTAATGTGTGCCTCCCTGTCTCTTATCGTTTTCCAGGGGACAGAGGTATTTTCCTTTGCTATGCAGTTTCTCCTAAGGAAAATGAAATACATTGCAGGGCAGGTTCTGTGACAAACGGTTTCTGGCCTATTTAGGCACCTCTGCCCTCAATTCATTCTTGTGCTTGTTCATGCTGGATCGAAGAAACTGTACCTTTTCACTCTATTTTTGAAGACTACTTTAGGTCACTTGGTGTTTTTGATGTCTAAGTTTCATAGACCAGGATTAATGTATATAATCAACTTTTGGCTTGTCAATTTTAAACAGATTTAAAAATTAATTTTAAAGTGTAAGAGTCTTCAAATTAACTTTGGCAAAACACTTATTGTTCAACTTCCCAGCATTGCATTGACTGTGTCAGAGAAGTCCTGACATTAACAGGTCTGGCATCTGTGAAGGACATAAAGTCCTTTACAAGTAGACTAGCTTCTTGTAGTTATTATTGTAATATCTTCCTATTATATACTTGTTAGCACTTAAAATTTTATGTCCTGTCAGAAAGGCTGTGTTGTCATTTCAACCTTCTGGAAACTGGGCTGAAATTGAATTGAAAATTACACTCTCTTTTCCCTCACAACCTCTCATATTTTTTTGCCATACATGGGCAATCATTCTAGAAGAAAACTTGAATTTTTAAACACAGAACTTTGACTTGACCAGTTAATTTTAAAGCAAATCAGTTATTATAACAACAATGAAAGATAACTTTGTCTTTGCTTTCCAGAATAAAAAGTGACTCAATTTTCCCTCTGTTTCCCTTTTTATTTTCTATTATCTAGTTTGAAGAAAACATTCTGGATGCTTGCCTGTTCCTGATGGACAAGGCGGAACTGGAGCTCTCTGGGCGTGGAAACCCAATCAAAATCTGCCGCGTTGCCTCTGCAGTGGTATGTCATGGATGCCTAACGTGTGTCAGAAGTGATTCGTAAATCAAAGCCGGGCTGATTTAAATGGCCCTCACTCCCCAACGTGCTCACTCCAACAAGTGCCAGATCAATTGTCCATTCTGACCTCTGGGGTCTGGCATTTTGTTTCACTCCACTAAAGGTGAAATATTTATGTCAGTGCATTGCTTTTTCCTGATAATGGTACCTCTCTGGTAAGAAGCCACTTTTAGACATTGCACTCCAGGCATCATGGCATTTCTTGTGGCACTGTGCTCGCTTTCCGGTAGCTGAGATAATTGAGAAAGCTATTTCTGCCATGGACAGTAAGACGGCATGATGCATGAAATTCGGGATGGGAAACTGAGAGACTTTATGTGGATTCTAGCACTAACCTCAGCTGAGTCTTAGCACACTGCAATGATAGGTGTTACCATGTCTGATTTTTAAGCCTCAAGTGGCCCAGTTAGGCTGAGAACATTTATGTGTGCTATCTTGGCCCCAGAAGAAAACACTGTCCTCTTAGACATGGGGTCTGCAAAACTTACCCCACACAGAATGAAAGTACTTGTCATAACCAGAAGCAAAGAATAAGGAGGAGACTTTCCACATCTCCATTCTTTCCAGCTGCTAGACACCAGCAGTCATGCTGTGGGTGCAAGAGCAGCCCCATCCGTAATATTCAAGATGGAAGTCTTATCCAGGATGTGGAAGGCAGAGGCTGAGTCCCCTCCTCTGCCTTACAGAGGTCTGAACTGATGCCTTCTGCTTCCCAGAATAATACTCTATTTGTCGAGCTAGCGTCATTAGATGTTCTCCCAAGTCAGCTACTAAAATAGACTGTCCACAAAATATGGCTACTGGAGATGAATGATCCTTTAATCCACTTGTTACAGCATTTGCCCAGGCTTTAAGAGAATGAGCTCTTTGTCTTAGATGACATTGAAATGGGATCTCCAGCCTCTCAGTGCCACATGCTGAATCTTGCATAGCATCACATTAAATAGAATAGCTTCAGCAAGAAATATTGAGAACACTCCCACTTCTCTTTCTCTTTTAACCTTTTGGTTAGTTCTTTCACCCCAGACATTAGAAATATGGCTTCAGACCTTCAGATAGAGGTAAGAATTGAATGTGTTTCACTCGTCACTGGGCTAGTGGATGTAAAGGGTCCCTCATGTAGAGAGCATGGAAGCCCTAAGTGCAGAATAGTACAGAGTTTATGAACCCAAAGAGGGCTTGGATATTACTTAAGTTTTGAGCTACACAATCATTTTACAGAGGTGGAGAAGTTCACCAATGAAAATCCAGGACTCAATGGACTTTAGGTCTAATCTGCAGGATTAGGCCATAGCTGGGTGAGAGTTTTGGCCAGCTGAAATCTGAACCTCAGTAAGAAATGGCCAATAGGTGTTGAAGTCCCAGTCCCACCTATGTTCCTTACCCTCTTTCTTGCTTAAGTAGAAATGTGGTAGAGTTGAGCTTGCCTGAGGAGATGTCCCTGTGCTGGGATCCTTCTGAGGTTTCCTGACATTGCAGAACAGGAGGAGTTGCCCCCTTCTTCCTGTCTTTAGAGCCAGAGGAGAGGATGAAGATCAACATGCTGCCCTGTCCTTGAAGTGCCTCTTCTCTTGGCATGTCTCCCACAACAGTGAGATGGGCACAACCCCTTAACCCTTTGGTTATGACTCTGAATACTTATCTTTATTCAGTCCTAGGGTTCACAGAAAGTCGATTTTCTAATTATAAAACAGTAGTTAATCCAGCCAAAAGCTTTTAAATGAGAATTGTGATTTATTTGGCTGGCGTATAGCTGTTCCACATTAGCATAATTAAAAGGTACAGAGTGAATGAGCTTTTTGTAGAGCCTCAACTGGTTTGGTTCAAATTGCAGCTAGGAGATCTATTGCTTGTTAATGCCTATCATTATAGCCATTAGTCAGCAAAACTCCTTGCTTTGTATAATCTTACCAGGAAAAACTTACACAGCAAATTCCTTCTGTTTTCATGTGTGCTGGACTGAAGAAATTAGTTTCTACTCTAAAAATAACAGTGGACTGCTTCTCTTCTCAATCCACTGTAAATCAGGAGTGATTTTATTAAAAACTCTGGGCTGATAGGGACAGAAAAACAGACTATGTTAGGAAAGAATCCAGCTTAATATTTCCAAGGCTTGCTTATCAGTGTATAACTGATCATGTTTATTAAAAATACATAGCAATAAGCATGTTTACTGTTAATAAACTTACGAAACCGGCAACATGGCTACTCACTGTGGTGATTTAATTTCACCATTATTTTTAAATGTCTGACCTCCATTCAAAATTGTTCAGTGATGTAGAATCCATGGCCCTTAGCAAGATTGTTCTATTCATCTCCTACCTTCATAAATGAACATTTCTGTCTTCTAGCCTAAACTTGATTATATTGTCTCTCCCATCCTATCTTTGTCTTCTGGGTTAAAGATCTCTTTATTATTCAGTCTCTGACACCCCTAATGTTCATTTCCTTTGCCTTTAGATCAACTCCAGGGATGATAGTGGTGTGATTGCTGGATCCTGGGACAATACGTACACTTACGGTGTCCCACCTTCAGCCTGGACAGGAAGTGTGGACATTCTCTTGGAGTATTACAGTTCTAAGCAACCTGTGCGATATGGCCAGTGCTGGGTCTTCGCTGGTGTCTTCAACACATGTAGGTATCAGTGAGAAAAGCTCCACGCTGCTATGCAATTCTTGCATAACAGAGAGAGCTTTTAAGTTAAACTAACTAAAATACTTCCTGGCTCTGTGGTGTTCGGGAGTAAATAGTAGAGATACTTAAAAATACATGACTAAAATAGATGGTCTTTAAATAAACCTTTGGCATCTCCTTCAGTTCGGCTGCTCTTCCACACAAATCTGTTAACTATTTATTGGTTCAGTAAAATGTATTCAGTGAGTCATGCGGGTAAGTTTGGGATAGAGAAAGTTAGTCTTTTGGCACAGTCCACATTTCTGTTAGAAAATCTGAGATGAGCAGGGGGCTTGTTATCTAGGCCTGCAAAATGAAACTATTACCCAATATGGGATATGTGATGGTGTTTCTGCCCCAGAAAGGCCAAATCTCACCTACTAGGGATTCTTCCTAGCAAAATTGACATGCATTGTCCAGCATCCGTTTACTGAGCACTGTTAACATTTTCTGTGGAGTTTGTGAGCCAGAGCAATGAGGAAAATTCTGACCTCATTTATGAATTGTCTAGCACTGCTAGGTTAAGTCTAAACGCACTTGTTCAAACTGGACTTTCAATGTTGCAGCAAATGGGTGTTGCAGGTTGTAAAACCCAGTAGGGAAAGCAGCTTTGGACTTGTCCCCTCATTTTGCTGTCTAGCACTTTCTAACAACATCATCTGCTAATACACTGGAACACGCTGCAGCATTTTAGTAGTTAAAAAGACTCTGGGAGTGTAAAAAATGTGCATTATACAGATAATATGGGCAAACATTGGAAGAAATGCTTATGTCAAGTGCCAATGTAAAGCCAGTCAAGCAGTTCCTATGCTTATGGCACTGGCCAATAGAAGAAGCTGAACAGAAACTAAAAGTAATTGCCTTTTTTAAACCCAGATGATCTTCCTTAGAAGCTTTTACAACATATGCATCTAAGCAAAAATTGGGGCAGGGGACCAGATCAGCTTAGGACCAGGGGGACACAATGGGTATTTCTGCAAGCTTGGAGACTTCTTTGCATTGAGTGCTTTTCAGCCACAGCTCAGGGTCTAGGCTTTGGTCCTTGTATTTACGATGTAAAAAGGAAATGACAAAAAATCTTTCCATGAAAAACTTTATCTTTTTCACTTGTGTCAATACTGTCAATTGTTGCTGTCTCGATGAATCACATTATACTTCTCTTTACATTATACTTCTATTAAAAATGAAAGTTATTAATCACTCATCTTCTGCAGTAAACATGGAAACTGAATAATTAATGACAAGTTACAAGACTGGTTCTTCACCCTCAGGCAGCCCTGGACATCTCTGCATTTTCACTTTCTTTTTGACTGTTCTGTATATGTACGTTACATTTTGTACATAATTTTCCTCTGATCTAGACAATTGGATTTCGTAACTTATTTTTGTTACCTGAGGTAGTTCAAAAGATGTTCAAAACACTAAGGACCTCAGAAATAAAGCTGTCTTCTGACCACCTAGCCTTCTTCTGGCACACGTGTCTCACAGCTGAGACAGGGGATGCAGTTTCAGGTTTCTCTGCTTCTCGTTCATATATCTGGAGAGGTTCCTGTTGATTTGGGGAGGTTCTGGCAGGTGCTCTGTCCTTCGACACATGAAATGATTCATTTTATTCCTGTGGTATAATGAGCAATCACCCACATCCAAAGAACCTGAGAGATGTCTATTTCCTGCATTGCCTGAGGTCGTGTGGTCTGTACTTGATGTCCCTCAGCCTCTGCACAACGAGAAGGGTTCAGAAAGGCTCTTGCAAACGTTTCCTATGGATGCAATTCCTTGCAGTGGTTTCCACAGGCCACTTTGACTTCTCTGCCCATCATCTCCTCTGGATTCCTCTAGATGACAGACAGGCACACACACCAGTTCTCCCACTTCCCCCTGCACTGGCCCCGAGTCACCACTGCGCTGTATTTTGCCTGCAGGCAGCTGTGAAACTGGGGTGAAGCAGCAGAGGCCCAGAGCCTGTTGTGTTAAATGGAGAGGCGTACTTACCTGGGGCAAAACCAGACTTGGTTCGCTGGCAAAGTTAGTCAAGTCAGAGACCTGGCACCTCATATTGCTGCAAGGATTGCTGAGGTATAAAGTTTGTTGAGCATTATGAGATGAAAATGTTGTCTGGTGACTGATCTGATAGGTAGCCACTGACACATCCAGCTGCTGACCACTACGAAGAGAGGATGGCAAAGGCCTGAATAGCTGTGTGCAACTAAAAGGGTTGTTTTGAGTCGATTTTGAGTCTTTCTCATATGCCAATGTTTTATTGCTGTGACCAGTCCAGCTTTCCAAGGTTACTATATTGTACACTCTGGATAGTCATCCGTTAAAAATGCTAAAACATTCTGAAAAATGGTCATTAATCTTGAAATTGTCAGACAAATTATTTTCAATGAGCCCTGATGGCTCATGTGCTGGAAGCCTGGGAGGGCACTTGAATTAAGTTTAATCAATAGGTACATATGGTATTGGATGCATCCAGGTAATTTGTCATCCAGGAACTTGAAATGAATGTGCAGTGTTACAGTTTATTGGGAGTCGCAGTAGTGACACTAATGAATATACAAAACCCAGCAGAAGCAGCAAGGGCTGTTCAACATTGCAGCATCAAAGCTATTTTTAAATAGGATTTTCAATAAATATGTTTTCCCTTTCAAAAAAAAAAAAAATCCCTCTTTTTTTCTGCAGAATCGAGTTGGCTCCTAAATTGGAAAACAAGAACTTTTTTTGGCTGAGAGACACAATATTTCATCTGGAGAAACTGAGACAACATGTCACCCTGCGGCCCCTCTCCCCCCTTGGGGCCATGCTCCATGCTTATTTATTAGCCAGGGTGCACCACAAACTCAGAAGCCTAATGATGCACTACTGCACTTCAGACATGGCTGTAGCATTTCTGCATTTCCCAACTTTACCACTTCTCAAATGGGGAGAAGAGTCATCAGTGATACATTGTGATGGTCTGAGATTTAGGGGTAGTGGCTTTTTTTTTTGGTCCTCTTTTTAAGATCCTTTATGGGAAGGGACTGTTGCCTCCAAAATATTGTTACTTAGCAATCAGTACAAATTATGTAATGCATTTTGTTCAGACTAACTTTGACATTTCACTTCCAAATAATGCAGCTTTTCCCCCTTGTTAGCAATAATTTTCTGCTTTATTCTTTGTGTTCTCCAGATCCCTTCTGATGGCAGATGTCAAATAGGAGAACTGCACAACAACCAAAAGTACTATTAATTATCTTTTTAGCACAGTCTCATGATTCTCCTGGGTTACTGATAGTAGGAGACCTAATGTATTTTGCATTTCTCGCAAGCTCAAACTTATTTTCCTTTATACCACATTTGGTCATGCAGTTGACCAATTGCACCTAGATTTGTCCTGAAAAGCTACATTGTGGTCACTATGCAAGACTGTTCTAAAACTACTGGTAATCAGCTACTTAGGATATAATCATTGTACCATTGCATATCTTGACTGTTCATAATTTTGGGACCAAATAAAATATTTAACATATTCTATATAAAGACAGAGAGGAGGAACTATTTGGGTTGATTTGACTGAATTTTCCCATTTTATTCTAGCTCTTAATAGTTTCTCTCATCCTGTCATCCATGAGCAGTCTTCATATTTGTCCTTCTCATCACACTTTTCTCTTTGCCACAGTTCTGAGGTGCTTGGGGATACCTGCAAGACTCATTACCAACTATTCTTCTGCCCATGATAACAATGCCAATTTACAGTTGGACTTCTTTCTGGATGACAAGGGGAAATTGGACACCAAAATTACAAAAGACTCTGTCTGGTGAGTTCTCCTGGCAAATGTCTTTAATGTGTCAACTATGTAAGTAGTGAAAAACATGACAGAAATGCCTATGGTTTATTTATTACTCTGTGCATTAAAGAACACTGCTAGCTTATGTAAAATAGAATGAATGGATTGTTAGTAGGCTGAATAATACAAAGCACTTGTGATGTGGAGAGAGAAACCCTAGGGGATCCCACTACTAATATTACGATACAGTGTACATTTAAGCATAGTGGAATAGGTTTGTGCTCCTTAGGGACAGGACATTTCTAAAAATGGAAAGGAGTAGGATGGGCACTTAGATCAGTCTGGATCCAGGCTCAAAGGGATACCTCAATATCTATAGAAAAACACCCTTCTTGCTCTGCTTCTCTCCAGTTCTCGTATTTGTAGGCTGGTTTTACATTGTGTACATGCAGTCATTGTCTCAAATAGGTACTTTCCAAAATAAATCCAGTTCAGCTGAAAAAGCGACAAGCCAAGATATCATACAAGTTACTGAAATGCTATTGCCAGATTTATAAAAAGAAAAAATCCTAGGAAGAAGAAATGGAGTCTAGGTATTCTTTTGGAGAAGACAGTCCTCTAACTTGCTCCTCAAACTCTTCCTGTCTCCTATCTGACAGAAGTGTAGCATATATTGATTATCTGCTCTGTTCCATAGAAATTATGTGTGGGTTATTAGGCTGCAAGCCTCTCCTCCTCAGATTGAAGCAGTGAACATGACCTCTATATTCTTATATTCAGGAGATACTTGTCCTATTCAGTGTTAATATACCGGATTTGTGTCAGTGATATCTTCAACTCATCAGCATAGCTGCTCATCAACATGTCTCATTAATAACTTAATCTCTGGAAGTCTTTATATTAAAGCTGTAATAAACCCATTCTGCTGTGGAGGAAATGACTGAGCCTATTGTTGTAACCTCTTTTATATGATTTCCATAATCCGTTACCAAGAGGGAATCTAAGGAAAACAATTATGTTCATTTATGTCTGAAGCTTATATCACAGAATCGTTGAGACTGGAAGGAACCTCTGGAAGACATTCAACCCTCCTGCTCAAAGCAGGATCAGCTACAGCAGGTTGCTCAGGGCTACATCCATCTGGGTTTTCAATATCTCCAAGGATGGACACTCCACAACCTCTCGGGGAAACTTGTGCCATTTTTACAGGAAAAAATGTTTTCTGATGTTCAGACAGAATTTCCTGTGTTTCAATTCATGCCCATTGCTTCCTGTCCTGTCACTGGGGGCCACTGAGATGAGTCTGGCTCTGTCTTCTTCCCTGCAACTTCCTAACCAGGCATTTATACACATGGATAAGCCTTCCCATCTTCAGGCTGAACTGTCCCACCTTTCTTAGCCTCTCTTCATGTACAGCCTTTGGTGTAGCAGCCATTCCTTGCAGTGTTCCCTATCAACAGACTTGCTGAGGGTGTAGTAGGTCTCGCCACCCAGGTTATTAATGAAGATATTAAAAAGTATTGGACCCAGTATCAACCCCTGGTGTACAAGGCTAGTGACTAGACTCCAGCTGGAGTTCACACCACTGATCACAACCCAGCAGTCCAGGCAGTTTTCAATATACTTTACTGTCCACATTTCAGTCTATGCTTCAATGGCTTGTATATGAGGATGTTCTGGGAGATGGTACTAACGTCAAAGAGAAACCAACCCCCATGCACTGGTCTCCCCTTGTCCACTCAGACATCCATTTCATCAGAGAAGGCTATCGGGTTGGTCAGGCACAGCTGACCCCTGGTAAATCCATGCTGACTACTGCCATTCACCTTGTCCTTAATGTGTTTGGAAATGTTTTTCAGAAGAATTTGATTTATAACCTTCCCAGGAATCAAGGTGAGACTGAAAAGTCTGTAGGTCCCTGAGTACTTCTCCTTCTCTTTCTTGAAGAAGAACAGGCTACAGGCCTGGGGAAGAGTGGCTGGAAAGCTGCCTGGCAGGAAAGGACCTGGGGGTGGTGGTCCACAGCCAGCTGAGTATGAGCCAGCAGCATGCCCAGGTGGCCAAGAAGGTCAACAGCATCCTGGCTTGTATCAGAAACAGCGTGGCCAGCAGGATTAGAGCAGTGATCATCCCCCTGTACTCGGCACTGGTGAGGCCACACCTCCAATACTGTGTTCAGTTTTGGGCCCCTCACTACAAGACAGACACTGAGGTGCTGGACTGTGTCCAAAGAAGAGAAATGAAGCTGGTGAAGGAGCTAGAGCACAAGTCTTATGAGGAGCAGTTGAGGGAACTGGGGCTGTTTAGTCTAGAGAAAAGAAGGCTGAGGGGAGACCTTATCACTGTCTACAACTAGAGGTTGTAATGAGGTGGGTGTCAGTCTCTTCTCCTGGGTAACAAGAGACAGGATGAGAGGAAATGGCTTTAAATTGCACTGGGGAGGTTTAGATTGGATATTAGGAAAAATTTATTCACTGAAAGAGTGGTGAAGCATGGGCACAGGCTGACCAGGGAAGTGATTGAGTCACCATCCCTGGAGATATTTAAAAGATGTGTAGATGTGGTGCTTAGGGACATGGGTTAGTGGTGGACTTGGCAGTACTAGGTTAATGGTTGGACTTGAATATCTTAAAGATCTTTTCCAACATAAACGACTCTCTGATTCTAAGAAAGGAGTGATATTTGTTTTCTTCCAGTCCTCAGGAACCTCCCCCAATCACTATTCAGTCCATATACACCCAGTAATGGATCATTGCCACACTTAAGACTTTTCACTGTCTCATCTATTTTTCTCCTCCTAACCTAATCTATGAAACACCTCTCACCCACTTTTGAGATTTCCATTTCCTTTTCCTTCCTTTTCCCTTTCCTTCCTTTTCCTTTTCCTTCCTTTTCATTTTACTTCTTTACCTTTTCTTTTCCCAGCTGTTTCCCAAGACTTCTTAGACTTCCCAAGACTCCCTTGGACAGGGACAGATCATCCAAAATCATCCTTGCTCCACTGAAACCCATATGCAACTTCACACTAGCATTTCATCATCCCATCCTACATTTGCTTTTCTTTGGCTTGATTACATTTTGAACTTCTTTGTTCATCCTTTTATCCTCCTGGTGCATTTATTAGTTAGTACATGGTGCACATACCCCTTGGGCACGACTTAATATATTATATATCTCTTTTCATTTCTCCTCTGTGTCCTTTCTCTTCATTACTCTGTAACACTCCATGGTAGCCCACATGCCAACTTTAAATGGCTTGTGTCTTAACCTTGATTTCATTTTTAATCTCTATTTTATTTCTTTTTTTTTTTTTTTTTTTAAGAGGTACAAGCCCAAGGTATTTATAATGATTTTTTAAAATGTATTTCTCACTTTTATTTATAATCTCCTGAAAACTGGAAACAAAGCTCTTTTTCTTTATTAATATATCATTTCTATTGCCTTGTACTGTTGAAGCTGATATGTCTTCAGGTTTAAAATACTTTCAGACTTCAGGGATACTTGGAGCCAGGATTTTTAGTCTAATCAATCTCTGAGTGTGGGGCTCCCTCTGAATGTTATCTGACATTTATTTATTTTTATTAAAGATCATCTTCTCCCTCAGGATAGGAAGCAACAACAACAAAATACATATACAAAATTACACAGACTTTGCAAAAAGTTATTTTTATAAAGCTGGCCGGATTTGGGCCCATCAGTACTGCCTCTGTCCCCTTTGTTCTCCTTGTCTTTCTTAATGATGATATAAAGACACTTAAAGAATATTTCTCTTGGATGGGAATCAAGACTCACTCCTACAGTGTGGTCCAAACAGACCGATGTCAGTACCTCAGCAGAAACTCACTTGAAGTCATCCTGCCCTATGGGGTTCATCATGTCCAGGCCTGTGGAGAAAGCCCTTCTGAGACCTCTGCTCTCCCATTCACCTTCCAGCTCACTTTTCTCTAATTTCTCAATAATGTTATCAGTGCCTCTCTCAACCCCAATGCCTCAGCTTATTAGGTAAGGAAAGGGCAGCAGCTGTTTCCAGCATGTGCCTGTCTCATAAGCAATACTAAGTACCCTTCCTAAATTGTCTTCCAGGCATAAAACCCACCTGATCATCTTTTATTAATTTCCCCATCGCTTTGTTTAGTCTATTCGTAATTATCTCTGTAAATATTTAATGGTCACTACATTGATCTGTATAGACATTCTTGCTTTCTTTAATGTCTCAGGCTTGCTGTGGAATACAAGAACTACAGAATCAGTTTAACAAATTATGGTTGCGGAGCCAGCTTCCTCAGCTGTGCTCACTTCTACCAGAGAGATGTTTCTGCTACATTTTGGAGAGGCAAATGTTCCCCTCAACCTCTTTTCCTTAATGCTTATGTGCAATGTCTTTCTGTTCATTCACATTGAATACCCTTAAGTGTATTTGTTATTTGCATGGCAACAGACCTGAAAAAATTGCCGTCCTGCTGCACCCAACACTACACCAATAGAAAAAAGTAAGAAAGGTCCTGTCCCCTAGGATGAATATAGAAAAAAATCTAGAAAAACTGCATTACCTAATTACAGAATTGAAGCGGAGCTGCCATTTTCCACACTGTTATCCCCCCCTTGGCTTTATCATCCTTCCCTCCTGCCTGCTCTTCAGGTTCTTCTTTTGCAGAACACAAAGCCAATGTCACATCTGAGTTTGATTCAAAGTGAATCAGTGAAGGCTTCAGGGCGGGGATTGTCTCTCTCACATGTTGGCATAACAGTTTTCAAAAACCCTCCTATCACAAAGTGCGTCCCCATTCTCTGGTAGCCCTCAGCAAAGCTCTGTGAGCATGATTCAGCATTGACTACTCTCAGCAGCATCAAAAATTCTCTGAGTGTGCGTCATTTTCCTTGAATAATTCCTTTTCCTATAGTGCTGCTTCATTAACTCTCCTAACTGACAAGTTTTACCCAGATCCAAGCTTTCATTTCCACTTTGAAATGTCTTGTTAGACAAGCCTCAGATCCTTCCATCTCTGCTCCATGGCTGTTTTTCACCTATTATTAATGAAATGGTTGGAATTTAACAATCCCCATTTTGGTTGCTAATATCATTGCGTGTACTAGGGGCTGTATCAGCTGCTACACAGATGTAATTTTATTCATATCTGCTGTAAGATATGTATAATTTGCAAGCAAAATTGCCCCTTTCTCTACTTCGTCCTTCTTTTATTTTTTGCAGTAATGAAATTCAAACACTTTGCTGGCTTTACTGCAAGACCTTCTTCCTAGATTGTCTTCTTTTCTTGCTTGTGCTCTCCCTTTACGCACCAGTGACATTGCAGGAAGTTTCGAGATTTTTCTTTTCTGCTCATCTTTGAAACATTCTGGGCAGACTGTGATAGTGCTGTAGCGGCTTTTTTCTTTTCCTGAGCATCCAGCCAATTGAAGGCATTTCAACCCTGAGCGCCTAGATGAACCACTCTCAGAAATTCACCTTTTAGCATGTTGTCCTGAGCCCTAAAGGAAAAACTTGGCCCACGGTGTTCGTTGGTGGGTTTTATGGAAAGCTGTGTGTTCTGGATCTGACCTCCCTCATCGGCATGATAGACTGGGAAGACCTGATAAGGAGGAATGCACAATGAGGATAGTCTTACAAAGCCTATGCAGGGTCTTTTTCTCAACCAACATGGAAATCAGCTAAACAAGATTGGTTTGAGCCATGAAAACAAAGCTACACACTGTACGTTATGGAGTTGCCCTGAATTCAGCTGGGATAACTCTATTTTCACAAGAAGCTGGGTGGGGGCACAGCCAGGACACCTGACCCAAACTAGCAAGGGGATATTCCATACCATATGACATCTTGCTTAGTATATAAACTGGGGGATCTGGCCAGGGGAGGAAGTATTGCAGCTTGGGAACGGGTTGAGTGTTGTGTTCCATCTGGTGAGCAATTGCATTGTGCATCACTCACTTTATATATTCTTTTATTAATATTATTGTTATTATTATTTCTTCTTTCCTAGTTCTGTCCTATTAAAATGTCCTTATCTCAACCCATGAGTTTTCATGTTTTTCTTCTGATTCTCCTCCCCATCCCTCCAGAGAGGGGAGAAGTGATCGAGCAGCTGCATGGGGCTTAGTTGCCAGCTGGGCTTAAACCATGACAGGAGTTGATCCTGAAATCTTTTCAGAAGTGGTGCCAAATCTTGAGTCTCAATAGTGGTAAATCAGACTATGCTTCAGTGTCTTGAAGAAGATTCAAAGCTTGCTTTAGCTGACAGACTGAAGTGGGGGTGTCTGGCTGGAAACGGATTGTAGTTTGTGTAGCTCTTCATATACCCCAACAATCTCCAAGCTCTGGAAATTTTTCTGAGACTTTTGCATTCAGAACACATTAGAAGAATCAAAAAGATTCTTCAGCTTGCAGTCAGGAAACTACAATGAAAGATTGTGGCCTTCAGGTTTTAACAGATAAGCAGCAAACTTTTAGACCTGAAAATCTATTCTCTAAAAAGAGCCAACTTTTTCACCCCTAAAGTGGCAAATGTTGTTATTGAAGCAATGGCAGGACATAAATACACAGGTTTATTTTGGTCTGCATGCTTCTTTCCAAGAATTTAATAGTCTGGTCCTATCTCTTGTCTAAGGAACTATCACTGCTGGAATGAAGCCTGGATGACCAGACCTGATCTTCCTGTTGGTTTTGGAGGATGGCAGGTTGTTGATGGGACACCCCAAGAAACCAGTGATGGTAATATTGCTTGATGTCCTCTTTAGCTCTCTTTCCAGTGCTTGGTTCTTTGTGGCAAACAACAAGCTCACAATAGCTGAGCCAGTGGCACCATGTGACCAGTGACAACTTCTTGCACCAGATAACCACACTCACCCATGCTCAGGGCCTTCTCCTGATTTATTATGAGCTCTAAAATAATTCTGTCCTTATTATAACACTGCTTATGATGCATACACACAAGATCCTGCATGAGAAGGGCCCTGCTTGCTACAGAAGACATGTAGTCCTATTGCAAAAAGATGTCTTCTAAAATTTTAGAGAACCTTTACAGGAGCCTGATCAAATTCATTCTCCACTTTATGTCTGCAACCCTTACTAAATTTCCTGAGCAGGCAGTAGGTAGGAGAGAAAAAGTGAAAAGCCACTGCTATTTCCTCCTAGTCCTCAATTTTCCAGTTCTTTAAAGACATTCTTAGCAAATTTGCAGTGCGATCTTTCTTAGTCTGTGGTGTAACTGAGTGCTCCCAAAATTAACTGCTTTAACCAAAACCAGCTGTAACTGCATTTCAAGCACTTGAGACTTACAGTGGTCTTTACAATGCCATTAAGGTACCAAACCATTAGATTGTTTCAGACTTGAGTCTGTGTTGTTTAGAGGGTTGATAATACAAACTGAACTTTGCACTTCTTGTTCAGGAGTTCCTGTAAACTATTAAAAGAGTTCACCAAACCTCAAGAATTATTTTTCTTTGAGAAAATAGAACATTTTGACATGTTTTTAGATTAATTTAATCTCTCACTTTATCTCTCCTCTCCCTATAGGTATGTACAGGTGTGGCCCAGCCTCAGTTCAAGCCATTAAACATGGTCACGTTTGCTTCCAATTTGATGCTCCTTTTGTCTATGCTGAGGTACATACCTAAATATTTCTAGTTCATTGAGAGGTATCAGTGGGACCGTAGGTGAGAGAGAAGATAGGGCTTCCCTGCAATTTATGGATTGAGATGTTATTTCACATATATTCCATGTCAAAGAAAAATCTCATAATTATATTTTGACATGCAGGCCAATAGGTGTGATATGACTCTAATGAATGACAGAGATTTCTCTAATCTCTGCTAACCAACGTAATAAACAGAAAAAACTACTCTGGCTCTGATGAAACTTCAGGCTGTGGTCATTTATCCTTCCCAGATTCCAGCTATGCTGGCAAGAGTCACTAGCTCTAGCTGCTCATCTTCATCCCTTGTTAGCTGTTACCTACTTTTCAGGCTTGCCAGCAAAGCTGCTTATGCTAAGGCTCCCTTGCTTATTTCAGTCAAAACAATGCAGTGATTTTAAAGGATTCTGTGCTCACCACATTCCTTTTGGCTTCAGTGGGTCAAGGAGAACTCACATGGGTGGTTTGACTGGCAGATCTGAGAGGGAAATATCTCCATGAGGAGTGAGAGGGCCTGATCTGGAGTTTTAACCTCTTGCACCACCAGAGCTGGTGTGTCCAGAATTGCAGCAGCTGTAGAGCAAGTCTCTCTCTAATTGAATTGTATATATCATAGGAGAGAAGAGAATAAATTTATTTTGTCTGTGAAGCATTCCTTGCTCTATGGTCTAAAGATTTTTGGTGCAAGGAATATATAATCTCCTCAAGTCCGAATGGTATCTCTGTAGCCTACTGAAGTTTACACTGTCATTCTGGAGCTGCAAATAGTAAAATGCATCTAATCATTATTGTAGCATACAACTAATTTTAAACACAGAACTTCAGTGCAAGTAATTAGTGGGACTTCAATTCAACATGTCACTGTTTTGAGGGGAGATAGGCTGGCTTCCCTTCCTCTCTCTACTTCCACGTATCTCAATCCTTTTTCATTTAATTTTGTAGGTGAATAGTGATATTGTTTATTCAAGAAGGGAGAAAAATGGAACCCAAGTGATAGAAAAAATTGACACAACTCATATCGGGCAGTTGATTGTGACCAAGGAAGTTGGGGGTGATGGAATGATGGAGATTACTGAGGAGTACAAGTTCCAAGAAGGTAACCTGAAATGGGGTGGGACCATACCAATGTAGATTTACCTCAGTCAAATCTTGAATGGTGGATTTACAAACCCCTGGCACTGAGGGAGCTTCATGAAAAGCTGCCAAGGTGCCCTCTGGAACTCTTTATTTGTAACTCCATCCCAGAAACACTGCAGATGCCTTGATGAGAGCACAAACTTTGCTACTCACAAATGCTTTGGACTGAGTAAACTATAGTGAAAACAAAGGATAATCATGGGATAACTCAAGGCATTCAAAACAACTCAAGGCTTTCTGTACAGCTTTTTAAACATTTTTTACTCAAGCCAGATGTGCACACAGAGTAAATCAGTGTAGCTCTATTAATATCAGTTTATCTGATATGGCTTGAATCTTTAACACCCGCTCACTTGAAAGCTGTGAAATTCTCCTAATATTAACTTTACCACAGGAAGTTTCACTGTCCTCATCCATTCATTCCAGCTACCACAAACTACAGCAGGTGCACCCCTGTGATCAGTGAGTGGGCTAATGCAGTACCCCTGTCTCTTTTCTAAATTTGATTTCCATTAATTTCTAGGCTCAGAGGAGGAGAGGCTGGCTCTTGAGACTGCTATGATGTACGGCGTTAAAAAGCAAAGTACTCAAGATACCACATGTCAGCCACAAACAGATGTTGACATGGACTTCCAAGTGCAAAAGGCAGTCCTCGGCAGTGACTTTAAAGTCACTATAACTTTCAGGAACAAAAGTCACAACTACTACACTGCTACTGCCTACCTTTCAGGCAACATAGTGTTTTATACAGGAGTCACAAAAAAAGAATTCAAGAAACACTCTATCAGTGCAAAACTGGAACCCTCTTCATGTAAGTCTTTCATAATTTTTTTCAAAACTGTTAGCTTTTTTTCTCTGTGTCATTAACTGTCACCAATTCCTCTACCCATGGGTAGAGGCAGTTCTAGTAGCTAGGAGTAAGATACTCATTGGTTATCAGGAGAGTCCGCTCCCAACTCTGGCCCTGCTACCTAGTGTAATTTAAAGCTGAGGCTGTTTTCTTCCAGGCTGTTTCTCCCTGCATAATGCTCTCTTACACCAAGCCTAGCTCATGCAGCTGAGGGCAGGATTTTGCATTGCTCAAAGTAGGGAAGAGGGATGTTCTTATTTTTTCATTTTGGACATAACCAGTCTATTTTCTGTCAGCCATGGCAGCCCCATTTGGAAAACAGTCAGCAAGTGTTGAGGACCTGCTGTAGTCCAAAGCACTATGGAGCAGGCTGGTTGTAGATCCCTGGCTTCTCCAGTGACAAGTGACTGCCAATCACTTGTTCTCCTGACAGGCCAGTGCTCTTGGGTCAGTGCCTTCAGCTCAGCAAAAGTGATGAGAATGTGCTCGTATGGGGGCTAAGTCATAGGATCCTCCACTTGAGTTCCCTACTGAGAGAGTCAGGAGCAATGATTTTGCCTTTTTGATGCTGTTACTGGGCAAAAGCAATCTCTGCTGAGCACAGTGGGAGTGACTGGATTTTGAGAGGCCAAAGGATGGGCCTCCTGATCTGTGTCTGGTACTGAATCACAGCAACCCTGGCTGTCCTCTGACCTTTCTCATCTGTCTTGTCTATCTCATCCCAGCTCAAGAGACACTGTGAGCCCTCTCTCCTCAAAGAGGACAGGTTTTGTCTCAGTGAAAAGCCTCCATGGAATCACAGTTCCCACCATGTTATGAAAAAAAAATATCCTCTGCTTTCTTCCTCACTTTGAGCATTATCTAAAACTGCACATTTTTATTAGGGGCTGATTAATCTCCACTAAGTAGGTGTCCACTTGTAGGGATATACGGGTGAAGGTTCATAAAAATTCTACCCTCAGTCAATAACAAAGCCCTGAGAGCTGCTTGCTGGTTCTTTCTAATTCCCCAACTCACTTGCGGGGGTTCTGTAAATGGTCATTGGGTTGTTTCAGCACAGCCTATCAAAACACAGTGTGGGGCTTTATAGTGGCTTGCATCAATTACTAAATATTTGATCTGAAATACTGCAAAACTTTTGGAGACTTGGCTAAGCACAGTAAAAAAGTTGATTTCAACCGCTCGGTCTAAACTTTGTGACACTTCTTTGATGGGGGAAAATTCAGTCATCTTGTAGGAGATGTGCAAATACCTGCTACACTTTCTGGCTGTGATTTGTGCTTGGTTCCAGGACTTACATCTGATCTTGCATCAAAGGTCTGTGTAAGGTATTATCACCTAAACCACAACTTTTGCAGTGCTTTGTGCCTTATCTATCTCCTCTGTGCAAAAAATGAAATGAATACAGGTTTAAACATCACCGAGTCTCGTAATTATTTTTTTCTAATTTAAGTAAATTACTCGTAAAAAACTTATTGAAACCATGCTGAAAACTCTGAACTGACTGATGATGAATGAACAAGGACTAGAGAGAGACACCTGAGAGAACAGAACCCTGATTTTTTTGCGTGTGTACCAAAAGTCCCCATCACTGATTCTGACCAAGAAGACATGTTTTAAGGTATTTCCACCATTCAGGGTGGAAATCAGCTTATATCTGAGCTACAGTCATCAACTTGTGGAGCACTTTGTCCCACAACAGGACAAAAAACCCTCACAAGTTACACCATCTCTGAAGGTGATACATAAAACTTGAGCATGAATTCTTTCGCCTCTGCCTTGGAAAGGAGTACACATGCAGTCAGGAACGGTGTCTGAGCAGATGGGCAGCGTGAAGAGAGGCAGTGTGGGAATACTCTGTCAGGGGTGTGATGGGAGGATACCTTCTGAGGCACTCAAGCAGAATTTTTAGGCTTCGTTCATGGCAAGAAGTGTGTGTGTGTGTATATATATATGGAAGTAACAAAAAAATTACAATATAATAAAGATGTGTCAAAGACATTCTTCCAGCCCATGTGGCTGAAAGAATGAAGCAAAGTTTTCAAAAAGGAAGTGAATGCATGATTTTCAGAATAATGATTAAAAGAATTGTGTGGGTTGAAAACATCTTTGAGGTTTTTAATAGCTTAAAACTTCCAGTGCCTTCAAAGGCGCTCCCACATCTACTCATTTATATTTAGTTTTCTCTATTTTTTTGAAAGGCTGTAAGGCAGCTCCGTGTTTTGTCTCCTTTGGCTTTCCCAGGTGCAGTAAGTAGTACTGGCAACTTACCAGCACAGCCAGTGCTAAGGAAATGGAAGTATATTACTCTTTTTTTTTTTTTTTTTTTTTTTTTTTTTTTTTTTCCTGTAGTGATTAAATTTAAACAGAAAAGTTCATCTTTCCTTCCACTGTAAATTAAATTTATCTTCAATTGTAACTAATTTATTTATTTATTTATTTACTTTACACAGATGAGAAATATCTTGCCTGATTTATAATATAGCTTGGGGCATTATGGGAAATTCTTTCACAAGAGATACAGAGTGAGAGGGAGGGAAGGGGAGCATATCAAGTAAATTTAAGGCTGGCCTGGTAAATCCAGGTCAGGTGGTCACTAAGGGAGTAGCTTTGAAACCAAATCAAGGAACTGTTTTTTATGTGAGCAGATCAAAAGAGTGAAAAGGGGTGAATGTCATTTACCCAACTGAGTTCAATTATCTCAGTGTGCACAGCGTATGTCACAAATACAATACAAATAATGGATAACAGTAATAATCGTAGTTAACAGATGGGAGATCTTGGTATATATATACAGAGTTATAATGAATGTTTATAGAGGCTAGAGCTCCAGGTCTATATATTCTGCTTGGTCACTTAGTTAGCAGGTTTACTTCTCTGCATCACATTCTCACACCATTGTTGGCCTGGGAATTGCAGTTCAATATGGTTAAAGTTAATGATTCCTTGCATCTCAACTGTCTAGCCTAGGGGGACTTGTTCCTTCCAATAATTATTGTCAGGGAGCATGTGAAAGCTCTCTGAAAGGCATGCTGGCGACAGGAGGACCTTCTTGCTAAATTTTGTAGGCAAGTCCAGTGTAGGACAAAGGCAGATATCCAGACATGTCCTGGAGAATAGGTGGTCTTCCAGTTAGCCTGCATGGGCTCACACCCCACCGTGGCTGATCTGGTGACATCCTTGGTGGCATCCCTCTGCCAGGAAGAAAAATGGAGAAAGCACAAGAGAAAAATGAAAGAGCAAACATTTACAAAGGTGACACTCAAAAGCTGATTTGGACATTTGTGCCCAGTAGGAATGGCGAGGTAAAGAAAATAAGGTAGTTTGGGAAAAAAAAAATCAAAGTTATTCTTTGGTGGTGGTGGGCCACCTTTATTCCAAGGCACTCATGTAACTGGCACTGGCCATGAGGGGAGGAGCAATTAGCATTTAGATTGCTTCAGATGCCTCTTTTCTTTCCTGTTTCTCCCTTCAGCCAGGTCTTTTGATGTTGTGATCAAATCGAGTGAGTACCTGGATGACCTGCTGGACCAAGCCTCCTTTCATTTCCTGGTGACGGCACGGATCAACGAAACAGGGAAGATTCTGGCCATGCAGAAGGCAGCAGTCCTGGAAATTCCCCCCCTGAATGTCAAGGTAGCTCAGGACTGGGGTGGAGGGGAGCGACCACCATGATGCATGTGGGCTGTTCTCTACAAGGCTGTCACATTGACTTCTGGGATTGGGAGGTGTATGTGAGTGCATGCACATTAGACCTTCAGTCTAACGTGGACCTTTTAAAGCAGTGGCTGGCTGGAGTGTATAAGGGTGTATAGGTATTTTATATATTGTACTGAGTATGCCTACATTGAAGGCTGAGACTGACAGCATCACTGGTAGTAGAGAGCTGAAGTGATTTCAGTGGAGGGAGGAAGGAGGGGGAAAGATCTGAGAAAGCTGGAGAAACTCAAAGGGTAAAAGAGGTTACTCACTCAAGTCACTCAAGACTTTAACTACTTTAGAAGTCTGTTACATTTAAAGCAACACAGCACAGAGGCCTCTTGATGAAGAATGAAACACACTGCTGTTGAGGTGAATTGGCTTGGAAAGCTCCTGCAGGTGTTATGGAAAGTTCCTCCAAACGTGGACAGGCACCGTCCATTTGGGACCATGCTTTCAGGATCTCAGTGCTTTGCTGCCACTCTGTGAATGTACTCTTAGTGGCTTGCCCTGAAAGTTCAAGTGTTTCTGCAGATGACGGCATGGTACCTATGGAAATGTAGAAGTGTATTATTTGTGATAGGACAAGGACCCTATGTTGTATGGCAAAGGCACGGCTGAGATTTAGAGTTTTCAACTCATAACTGGGCATCCAAATAAATTGCCTCATTTTCAAAAGAGCTGAGCTTTCATCTGTTTGAATGATGTCATTTGGATCTGTTTTTTTCCTAATACTAAAAAAAAAATCAGAACACCTATTCAGTAAGCTTTATATAAACGTGAATGCAGGTCCCTAAAATTCAGGATCTTGAAAGAAATCTAAGTTTATAGACCTTTTTCCCCCTGCATATTTATTTGAACCAGTGTTTATGTTTCCATATAATAATAAATGTAGCAATCTGAAACAGCAGCCTTCTGCAGAAAAAAGCTTTATAAAATATGTAGGTCAAAACTACAGTGAAGTTTGCAAAATATTTAATGATGTGCAAAAATGTCACTATGATCTGATCAGATTATTGGTATTTTCAAATAAAAGTTTTTTGGTTTACCGAGAATTCTGTAAAGGAGGTAAACAAGACAGATAAAATCTACTTCAAATGCCTGTCTTCAGTAGCCAGATTTTGAAAGTAGAGGGTTCTTTCAATTCAACACCTAAACAGACCATCTTATACAGGATCCCAAGTTTCAGCTTCAGAATAGTCTATCCTCCATGCTGTTACAAAGAAAGGGTGTTTAGTATATAAGACAGGTTGTTGTCCAATAACCATGTTTTCTAGTAAAACTGAGTTTGTCTCTTCTCTTCTTCATTGTGATGTGGAAAAGTAAGCTGAAATGTTAATAGCTGGATTTTTTAAAGAGTGTGTGTATATACCTATGTATTTACATAGGAAACTTTATTATTTTTTAAAAAAATCCAAATAATCTTATCTTCCTAGATTTCTTGTTAGATGCTTTCATTGAATGTAACTGGCAGACTGGAGTTCTTAATGTGAGAGTAAGGGAAAAGAATGAAAAAATGTATTTCCCCTCATGTCTTCAGATACACCTTTGATCTTTCTGTGTTGGTCTAAGGAGAATATCAGAGTTAACAGTGTAGGAAATTACACCTTATTCTAATTTAGCTTAAGACTAGTTTACAAAAATAAGCTCAGCAAATACAGATCGTGGTCTCAGTTACATGTGTGGGAGTTCAGGATGATTTTGAATCCCCCTATGTAAGCGTGATTTTAAATTGGCAGTTGAAATAAGGAAGACATAAGACCTCTAATTGGGCTAGGACTTCTGGAAATGCCACTGATGTCTTTTTGCAAAGTCAGGTGAACAAATGCTGTTGAGAGCTTAGCTGTGAATATCTCACTCTTCATTCTAGTGAATATATCTGTATTTGGTGCAGAGTGATCCCTTAGACCAGAGTCTTTCCAACTTTTTTCAACTGTCATATACTCCTTAAAAATTTGCAGTAGGGCTGCTAACCCAGCATAGCACTCTAAATGTATTGACAAGATACTTGTTTTTTGTAGTTACCTTTCTTGAGGCCCTTTAAGTAGCCCGTGGAGCAGCTGCTATCTACCAGCCATAAGTTGAAAACCCTTGCTTAAGCCTTTTATATTCTATGAGTAATGTTATGTTTCTAGGGGAAGAAAAAAAAAATAAAAATCAATCTTCATTCATGTAGTCTTTGTTTTAAAAATGCGTTCATTTGGAGGTGCTTCCCAGTCAGCTGTACTACCAGCACTGATCTGAAGGGACAGACAGATCCCTTCAGCTGCGTACTGTAATACACGTGGAAGTCAATGTGATCGCTGTTCATTAGTCTCACAGTTTAATATTTTTCAGTGCAAAATGCATTGGGTTTTTTGCTATGTAAGGATTTTGGAGGACAACTGGCTCTCAGGTCTACGCAAAGCGCATACACAGGATTAGAAACGCTGCAGAGCATGGGAGGCAGTGGCAAGGCAGGGGGAAGATGGGCACACTTTTGGGGGTTGCAAGTGATGTGACTTGGTGTTTCCAATTTAGGGTAATAAGACCAACCCTTCTCTTCTGGAGTTTACGTCCTAAGCAGGCCATGCACCTCAGTGCTGGTGGGGAGCATGGGGAAGGGGGCAGAATGTGGGAGAGAGGCCACCTCAGCTGGACTCGCCCTCAGTTGGACACTCAGCTCCAGCATTGTGCATGCAGTTTTCTGTTTTTTTTTTATGGAAATGAGGGCCTGCCTTTTGACCTGCCATGTGGCTTGAGGGAAAATTGCAATGGGTAGAAGAATCTGCAATGGTACTTCTGGGTCCATCCAACAGTTTTCTTCACTAGGCTTTCTCTGCCTTGAGCTGTTTTGCTGTGTGCTTCGTTCCCCCTCCTCTCCTTCCTTGCAAGTACTGTGTATTTAACCCTACAAATTTCACTGTGGGGCATTTATTATCAGCCTGCGGAGCATTGTCCTTTCCTTGTCTTGCAGACCCAAGGTGAGATGGTAGCTGGGAAAGAAATGTCTGTGACTGTGGAATTCACCAACCCTCTGAAACAAACCCTGGAGAACATCACTCTCCGCCTTGAGGGTCCCGGCGTGATGAAAACGATGAAAAAGTTGTGCAGGTAGGGGAGAAAGCACAACTAGCTGGGAGTTTGTCCCCTATGTGCTCACAGGAGGAAGCTCACAAGAGACACTTATCTAATGCTGTGCTGAGTAATCCAGTTCAGACACTCTATCCTTACTTTAAAATTCAATACGCAGTGGAGATGTAGGTCTCAGTAGTGAGAAGTCAGACTGTCCAGAGAGACTGTGTGAGCATTTCAGCTGTCCAGTGCCAGTGTTGGAGGAATGGGTAGTGGTTGTGGGTAGCTGCGAATGCAACCTGAGTTTACTTTTTCACTGTATTACGTTATTTTTAGTGCTTGACAATAGCACCTACAAGCTGCTATCACAGAAAGACAGATTTATCCTGCACATGAAGTGTTTACTGCCACTCGCTCAGTATGTGCAAATCAAGTCCTGTGCTGTTTCTCAAAAAGGGCTTTTTTCCACTCACGTTAATCATGATTCTACAAGACATTCAGGTACCTCAGATGATCTTTGCAAGCTTATGTCAAGGCAGGAAATGTGTGTTGGATGCAGCAGAGCCCGCTGGGACAGCTGCAGTGTGCCCAAGAACACAGCTCCCCCCGCCCCCAATAGCATCACTGCGCAGGGCTGCCCGGGCACAGAGCCGTGTTCCCAACACAGGGTGCCCCCCAGTCTCAGGAAGAGGGAAGCCACCTGCTTTCTACTCAGAGCTGCACCTCATGCTGACACAGTGGTACCCATACGCTAAGCAAGTTGTTCCCTAAACCCTCTTTCCATTCAAGTTCAGTGTTATAAGCTCAGCACTAGCCAGTTCCAGGATACATAACTGAGATCCTTGGAAAATTTTGCAGCCATTGCTTAGTCTTGGGCAGCCAAAGCAGTGTTATCTATCATTACCTGAACTGATGGTCCCCAGGTGTGCGCAAAAGGAGTTTGAAAAATTGCCTGTGCTTCAGCAGCTGCATAAATTGTCAGCATTATCTGCAGCCGGTAGGGGAGGTCTGAGCCTGATTGCACCTGGGCCAGGGATAAAAAGATCAAAACCAGTCTCCAGAGTGGAGCTGGATGGAAAAATGACTGTGAAAGGGCATCATACTGCGTCTGCTTTGTGCACGTGGGATGTCACCGACGCTGCTGAACATGACTCAGCACGGTCCACACGAGTTACACAAGTTGCAGCAATAGCCCTCGTCGCTGCCCAGCCGTGCCAGCCTACCCTGTTGTTCTGCATCCTTCTCAATCCAAAAGCTGCTGTGGGCTGCTCTCACCTTCAAGGATACAGAAGTTGTCAGGTGCATCAAAGGCACAGGAGTTAGGGAGAAAAATTACTCATGGAACAGATGTCATTTTCTTTCAAGTCAACATGTTTTCCCCTTTTCAGTGGTGCCCTTGGCATCCTTTAAAATGGAAATGGATCATTTTAGTAATTTTAAGAATTAACTTCTCTGAGATGAATGAAGGCTGCAGGTTATACACACAGAGGACAGAGCAGGGGGCAGTTGTAGTTTATTTAAATAATAATCACATTTGCCTCCATGCATTCAGAGTGATAAATGTCTCCAGTGTGGTGATGGCTCAGCATATTACATATAACCATTCATCACTGAATCCCAGGAAAATCAGATTAGGGTGGCTTTAAACCATTTGCAAAGAGAATTAAACCTATTCTAGGTTTTCACCACCCTTCCACTGCCTCACTGTCCATCAGGGACTGTCACATATGGGACATGTCTTTTGCAGTTCTTTGTGGGGGTGAGACTTTTGACTTCTCTATGTTTTCAAGATAGCTTTTCTGCATCACTTGGGTGACTCCACAAAACAGGTATGTGTGATCCAGCTGATACAATGTTATTCTGGGAATAAAGTGGCTTGAGGGCTTCAGTCCTGACCATCCATAAAGACTAAATGTGTATATATATGCATACATAGAGAGAGTGATATTTAGCTATTAGCCTCAGACAGATGAGGAGCATGAGTTATGGAAAAGCCTTTGTCAGCAGCAATTCCTACATGGGGCATAGTCTTTGCATGACAAATGAGAATTAACCAGGCAGTGATGGATAGTGTTAAAAGGATTTTAGCCAAGCATGCATTCACACTAGGAGGTAAGTCACTTCAGGTGTTTCTACGTGTCAAAGCTCAGCTAGTATTAGCATTTGTAGAAAGAAGCAAGTTGTTTTAGAAGTAAGACAGTAGAGAAGCTGGAAAAGGCAGGTTTTATTTCCTAGCACAACTGTTGTCTTCCTGTGCACACACACATATATATATATTTAGAGAGACATATATATATATATTTATATGCAGAGATGATAGCACTATAAATCAGACATGGTAGTGCTACTGTCTCTCATGGGGGCACTGGATGTGGTCTGGAAACCTTCATCCTTAGAAGATCTGGCCCCCAAATGCTCAAGAAAGTACACCAAACCAGACACAGCACAGCAGACTTGTATAATGTCTTCTTCGCTTTCCATACAGATAATCCCTTGCAGATCATTCCCGTAAACTCTAATTAAAAAAGGTATTTAACCTTGTCGAAGCAATTGAATTCATTGCTTTATCATGCTACCATTTTAGTGGGCATTTTGTGGAGCAGGCAGGCCAGCTAAGGGGAACAGAATATCTCTCATTAAGAACAAAGATAAAAAGAGGGAAAACACTCACTGGAAGTGGGCTGCACATTCACACCAAAAATATGATCTTCCTCTGCTTTTTCTTTTCTAAAACTGGGTACATGCTCCAGGGTACCTATGTCTGTGTATGCAAAATGCAATGCAGTGACATGTAGAGGTACCTAAGCTAATCTTGAAGGAGCTAGAATACCTCTCATTTCAGCAGGGGCAGACTTGCCCTGAAACAAATACTCATGTGGGAGGATCCCAGGCTGGGTCATTTAGAGCTAATTAAGGTTTCTTGTCTTATGGCAACTTGTGCTAAGCCTGGGCAGTTATTTCTGTCCTGACCTTGGCACAGGACATGGCATCTGAGAGCCAAATCCTACCAGATGAGAATTTGAAACAGTGACTGAAGATTAGGTTTACTTTTACTCTCACTTTATTCAGTTGTTCACAGAACACCACAGCCACGTGAGATGAGAACACTGGCTAAATTCATAATCCTCTTACTTAACGCTGAGGAAAAGAACATTCATTTTTATAAACAGCTCCTCACTACGCTACCTTTTCCATTGGTTCCTTTGGAGCAGCTGTATCCTGACATCCCCTAAACATAATCAATCAATCAATACCAGCCTTCAAAATCTTCACAGAGAACATAGTGAAAGCACTGAGAAAACACAAAAACCCAATACTTGAGGCTCTCCATGCATCTTAATTGTAGCAAAAATTGAAAATCAAGAGCAGTACAGAATACAATTGCTTTATAGTATGAGTTACCAAGAGTTATACATAATGTAAAATAGTAACTGCTAACAGCAGGGCTCCCAAGAACACTTTAACTTATTTGTATGAACACAAAGAAGTCATCTGAAGTGGCCAGTGAGGAGATCTGCTGATGTTACAACCGTGGCAGGGTGGTTCAGGGTAGGAGCTGGTGGAGGCACTCAGCATCTCATCAGCACTGCATTGGATTTGCATGGGAATGTCCTGGACACTTCATAACGAGGACCTATTTAACCATTTAAGGAATCACCAACAGGCTATAGGCCATAATAAACAGGTAAAATATAATTATAAAGTAGAAAAAATATGTTAGCTATAAAGAAGGTAATTCTGAAAGTAATTGTGAGAGCAAGTGACAGGAGACAGAGGTGGTTTCATTTTGGAAATTTATAATTAGCCTGGAGGAAAGGCTAGAAAAGGTTTTGACAGAGCCAGTTCTGAGAGGAATAAGAGATGGAGGGAATAATTTATAGGACACTTATGAAAATAAGTGAAACATAAAAAATTTGAGATGTGTTATACTGTCCACCTTCAGTTTCCTCAGTTGTGGGTCAGGTTGAGAGCACTGGCTGACTGACCACAATACTGTTACTTTCCTTTTTCCCTACAGGCAAATTCTACCTAACTCTACCTTGAACTGGGAAGTAAAATGCACCCCAGAACATCCAGGGTTACGAAAGCTGATTACAAGCCTGAATTGTGATGCTTTGAGGCATGTGTATGGTGAGCTGAACATCCAGATTCAGAAACCATGAACCAAGGTGCTGCCTTCATCTCTCATTTAGCTATATTTCAAAACACTGGGGGGGGGGGGACATGGGAGGGGGGGTGTGTGACATGGATGGCCAAATGGACAGGGAAGAGGTAGAAAATTGCTTATTGTTATTTTTGTCATCCTTGTGCTGAACAAGATTTGGTAAAGAAAAATAGTTGCTGAGACTGGGGAGAGCATGAAAAAGCACCTAGATAGTGAATGATTTAAAATTAGATACACATAACTAAAGGCAATTCTAGGCCATATTATTCCTATAGTTCACTTGTATTTATGATCTTTTGCATTAGCGATGCAAGGGAATCTGAAAAGCTCCATTCACCAAAGTAGTCTGAACTTTAGTTTTAATTAAGGCCTGATATTTCACTGAAAAGGAAAAAAAAAGAACTCAGTGTTATAAATTCTTAGACTGAATTACACAACCGTGTGGTAGATCATTCAGGCTGCAATAAAAACAGGTATTTCTAGCTAAAGGGACTGCTTTATCTTACGCTGTTACAATTTTCCAGTTCACAGAAAGCTCACTTTGCTGAAATCATCTCTCAAGATGTGTTATCTCCAGAATGTTCCCAGCTCCTTGTTTCTTCTTGCTGCTTCCCCATGCTTTTTCTCCTACTCTTTCACATGTGCAGGCACCACACATATTCACTCCTGTTTTTCATGCCGTCACCCCACCCTGTATGCTGTTTATACACTGTTCTTCTCCTTGCTTGATGAAAATCCAGATTTTTTCATGCCCCTGCTCAGAGTTCATTGCACCAAACTTGCATTTTCTGGTCACATCTCTTGTGTATGATGTGTTCGCTTTTCATCCTCCTCTGCCTTCTCTCCCGAACCCACCCTGTAACCTTATTTCCCACGTGTGTGTGTGTGTGTCGGGGGGGTTTTCTGCCCCAGAGCAGTCCAGGCTCTGCCAGCAGGTAAATGGGGTGAAGGAAAGAATAGTGGAAGGGGTAGCCTGATGATCATCTCCTGCCAGCTTCACAGGCTTAGCAAATATTCTGCACTGGAGCTGGGGGTGAGTTTAGATTAAACATCTGGGGATGAGTTTAGATTAAGCTGTGCCTGAAAGTTCCTGGGAATCACAGCTGCTGCAGAATGAAGTCCTATTACATGACCAACCCCAGGAATATACAAGGACAGAAGCTCAGCTGGAAAAGGAATAAAGATGTATCTTGAGAGTCAAAAAACTCCACAAGGTGGAACTGCTTCCTGCCTTTCTTACAGCATATTCCTGTGAGGTGCAGTGGGGCCTCTCGAGTCAGCACTCCTCCCCTGAGGATCTCCTGGCCCATAAGCTGCTCTGAATCTGTGGTTTCCTTTAGTCTTCCATGCAGGGTACTGCTCCATCCTAAGCCATGGACCCCATTGTGCTAGGGCAGCAGCAGGGTGTGTGCGTGTGTGTGTGTATGCTCATGTTTCATCTCCTCTGAAATCCTTCTCGGGATCTTTTTTTGACAAGGCAGAGATGCACGTGTCACAGGCTGTGGCAACTCCTCTCCAATGGCCCCAGTGTGTAAGAACATGTCCCATACTAAGAGCACAGGTGAGCTAACTGAGCTTCCAAAGAAGTTAAAAGGAGCCTCATGCTCATTAAACACTGAGGCTTTATCGTACTGTGTGTGGCCATGTCATTTTGTGGTCTCATTAGTGAGAAAGCAAGGGAGATGACTTGCCTTTGCTCCTCTTCGTGCCATATGTTGCCTCCTGCAAACCCTGTGACCAGCTGTTATAAAAAAGCAGGTCTTGGAAGGGAAGAGATGCTGACCACCCTTTTGCTAAAGTATGTGGAACAAAGCAAATGTTCATACCATCTCATATGCTCAGTGATCCCCCTGGATCCAGGAACACCAGATTTTGGGGGGCTTTCACTTCAAGTGTGGGCACACACTCATTTTGTACAGTTTATGTGACCACATTAGGAACTCTGCAATGTCAAACTCTCCCATAAAAGTCCTCTGGGGTACAAGGAACTGAACGGTGTGTTGTAAATGCAAGGTGACAATCTCTGTTAAGTAATTAAGCAGTCCTACCAGAGTCTACATCTTCTAATAAAATTACCCGTTTTTTTGCTCTTGCATATAAACCTGCTTTCCATTCTAGACTTCCTATAACCACAGTGTAGTAAGAATTCATAATAAAGCATGTCTGATTGCACTTGTGTCATGTGTTCCATATTTTGATCAATCGTTTCTTCTACATAGTAGCACTACAGACACCACTTGCTTCATCTTATTTGTAAAAGTTAAATCACTTCTGAGCCATGCTAATAAAGGTGCCCTTTTTTGGGTGTTAAGGAGAAAACCTTATCTTTATTGAAACAAACCCCCCAAAAATTACAGGCTCAGTTTAACTCTTTGCCTTTAGTTTTCCTTCTGTTTTAACAACAGACTACCTAATGGATTGGAGAAGGTGACAATTTCCAGAGCACATCACAGTGCCAGCAAAGAGAATCCCCAGATTCCCCTGGAAATTGTTTTAGCATGTCAGAGCCCATTCAGTGGCCAGTACGCTCCTAATGAAACCTTACCTACATCCTACTTCTAAAGTGTGCTTCTTTCAGCTAATATTTCAAGGCATTTTACTAACAGTCGTTAAGGTGAATGATGTTCACCAGGAGACAGGAGGTATTTTTATTGATAGTTTATAGAGAGGTATAGTGAAGCAAAGAGAAATGATGACTGGGAATAGCGGCCAGGGATGTCAACAGCCCTTGGCATCACTGGCCCACTCACTCTGTACAGAATTGCTCACAAAAACCTAAGGACAAAATGAGGACAGCCTCTAGGATTTCAGCTACTCATCACCCTGAAGATGGGCTGTTGCACTGTCATGTTTTAAACCCAGTCGGCAGCCAAACACCAAGCAGCCACTCACTCATCCTCCCCCACCCCCAAGGAATGGGGGAGAGAGTTGCAGGGGTAATGGCAAGGTCACCTGTAGTTGAGATAAAAACAATTTAATAATTTAAATAAATAAAATTAAAATAATAATGATAATAATAGTAATAATCAATAACACAGATTAATAATGCACAATGTGATTGCTCACCACCCACTTGACCGATGCCCAGCCTGTTCCTGGCTAGTGATCCCAGAGAAGAAAGAATCCTGAAACCACAACCCTAGAAGCTGGAGCGAGGTTCCTGATCAACCATTATCTATATACTGAGCATGACGTTGGATGATATGGAATATTCCATCGGCCATTTTGGGTCCATTGATCTGCCTCTGTTCCCTCCCAGCTTCATGTGCACCTGCACACTACCAGGACATGGGCAGTTGAAAAGTCCTTGATTTCTTAGCAACAACTGAAATCATCAGTGCATTATCAACATTATTCTCACATCAAATCCCACACTGAATCAAAAATACAGCTCTATTCTAGTTACTAAAAAGGAAGGAAAAAAGAATAAAACAATTAGCCCTGTCCAGGACAAAACCAGGACACACATGAATCAGGGGTAAAATCTGACTGAAGAAGCAGTGAGTGCTGTGGTAGCAGTATATGTATGCACAGGAAAGAATCAATCAATAATAAGGTCACACTGGCACTCCAGATCTGGATGATCTTTGAACATGAAAAGAGTTGGAGTTCAAACTCTTCAGCTGAGGGTCTCTTTTGAGTGGGGTGAACTTGTGTCCTCAACTCAGCATCGCGGAGATGGGCTGAGGAGGAAAAAGACCAGAACCAAATCCCTGCCTCCACAGATCCCACACTCCAGCAGCTCAGAGAAGCCAACTACCAACAAAATTCTGAGCACTCCAGAAAGCACACCTCATCTGTTACCAACTTGTTACATCCAAGCTACGAAGCAGGTTGCTTCAATTCCTGTCAATTTGTCACATTCAAAATGTTGTTAACAATCAAAAGGAAACACACCTTACAGGCAGACCTGGGAAGAATATATTCTTGTTAAAAATACTCTAACCAAAGAATTATTAACAGTTGAGATAATTAGGATGGAATTATATTCTTGTCCTTTTATTGCAATGATATGAACACTTAGAGTTAGATAAAACTGATACACATAAACTTTCTAGTATACTCCCCTTTCTCTGCTTTTGTATGCATCTCTACATTGCCCCTGTGATGTCTTCAGCCTGGGGTGGGGCATGTGTAACAGCAAGTCATCAGTGTCACAGGTCCTCCACCAAGCAGAGTTGAACATTACTGGGGAGATTTTCTCTTCCTCTTTGTTGGGATAAGCACAATTGAAAATGTCTCCCTTCTCACCCTGTGATTCACCAGAGGTCATTTTTATGTGTTTAATAATACACTCCACATCTTAGTTTTTTCTCATATGTTCACAGCTCCATGGTAGATCCAAATTTGTTATGTGTGAGGCATTTTACATGTGTTGGGTACTTGTTGTTTGTTCTCCTTTGTTACATCTAAAATTGGTCTCACCTACCTGCTAATCTTGTACCCTATGATGACCAGTAATTAACCACTGGTGAGCTATTTGTGGCCTGAGGCCTGTAACATCATCCTACACCTGTACTGCCAGGGCCCCCGTTATCATTCCATGCTAGTGATCATCTATGCTGTGCCTTATTTTGGAGTCATAAATAGTTCACTCCACAGAGAATAACTACCTGCTATTACTGTCTATTAGTTACAAAAAGTACATGTAACAACAAACTTTTCATCATGCAATTGGATAAAGCAAAGGAAAAGCTAAAACAAACTCAGTAGTAGACATCAGGTCATTAGATAATTGCTCTTATAGCTAAACAAAGCATGGAAAACGCTTGACAAGTCCTGATGCCTGTGCTGCTAGCTTATCCCAAAGCTGTGACCTTTCACAAACAGTGGCAGCATCTTATTTGTGGAACAAAATCAGAGAATGTGACTGAGCATTGGCTCTTCTAGTGATTGGTGCTACCAGTGATAATTGGTTTGAACTGAAGGTAATCAATAAATGCTCTGCCAATTGGATGACATCTCTGGCCCCCTGTCCTTTTCTCCTGATGGGGACTTACCTACTGCCCTTTCCTCAGCATACTGGTTTCATGTTTGTCCTTATTTTCCCTGAGGAGGAGGTAGAGGCTGCTGGTGCTAGCTTCTGAACTTGAGTGTTGGTGCAGTGGAGGAAGGTGACCAGGTCAGAGGAGTGGGAAAAGTGTCTGAGCTTGTTTGAACTGAAAGTAATAGTTCCATTATGAACGAGTAAAGCCAAAGTGTGCTGTAAGTTTTGATGGAAGGAGAGGGATTGTTCTGTATATTGGAGCTGGCATGACAGCTGGTACTGAGTAGAGGTGTGATATGTACATCAGAGAAATGTATATTGGAGTAGCACCTGTAATTGAAGACAGTGCCTGAGAGAAGCTAGGAGGTTTTGACATGCAGGTGAGAGGGATTTACTCAGTGCTTAAAGGCAAAGTTGAAAAGGCTGAGTTGAATATTGAGGAAAGAAACCAGGGAATGCATGGTAAAGAGAGAAAACATGGCCAAAATAATGCAAAAGGTAGATTCTTGGTGGGGAGAGGCAGAGGGGAAGAGAAAACAGTAAGAGAGGAAGGTCACAAGGCTGTGTTGCTTAATGTAGGGAATCAACAGGAGAGACTGGCAGTGGTGGCAGAGAACAGATCTGCCCATCACTGGAGCTGGATGTGGGCTGGTAGCACCAGGATTCACCTCCTCTGCAGGTAGGTCAGTAAGCCTACGCTGAGGGCCACAGCTAGGCTCAGGAGCAAGTTTTGTCTGCAAGGCTGGTAAATCATGGGGAAGGGCAAGTCAGAAGGTGGGTTGGGTGGTGGAAACCTGTGAGGCAGTCAGCAGTTGCAAACCAACTACACGGCTGTGGGAGCACCCTGAGGGGACCCAGCCTGGGCTTGGCATTTTCCTTAAGTCACCTGCAGCCCAATCCAAACATGGTTGTGTTTACCTGGTCTTCACAGTATTAGTCTGGGAATAAAAAGGACCCCTTGTGACTGTTCACACAACTCTGGTTTTGGCTAACACACAGCTCATGCTGGGGCCTGACATATACTGGGAGTAACACCATTAGGTCAAAGTCAGAGCAACACGTGGGCAGGAAGGGGTAGAGGTCATTATGTAGCTGTTATCACCCACAGCTTGCTGTCTCCTGCAGCCATAATCCTTATGTATTGGTTGCATAACAGTTTCTTCAGAGTCCACTGACCTACAGAGGTGGTGTAGATCAAACTTCCAAGCTGGAAGTTATAAATGCATCAGCTTATCCAAAAATCTTTTGAAGCTGATCCAACAGCAGCCAGACTGCTGAGGCTTTTATGCCTCCAGGTGTGATACAGGGGACACCCACAAGGTGATGGGGGGAAGAAGAATGAGCACTCTTACTGTCAAACAGGTAACTATTTTGCTCATGGCTGCATGAGTTCTTAGTTATGAATTAGAGAACTTGTGAGTTAGACACATTATGAGTTAAGTGATGAATCGGTGAATTCACATGTTAGACTAGTCTGTACAAAAGGGATTTAGACCTTGTTTGAACTGTTCATTTTCTTTCTTAGTGTGTTCATAAAATAAAGTTTAATTTACAGATTACATTGTCCTGTAAATTTGAGCAATCCAAATGCATTATGACACCCCTAACTATAAGAAGTACAAAAAGTCTGGTCCAGTGAAAACAGTAGTAATAGTAAGTGGCACTGCAGATGCAGGTATTTTGCTTATGTTACAGGAGTCTCCTTACTGGGCACAAATACAATGTAATCTGTCTGTTTAGTAGCTTTAGTGGCCTTTTCTTTTGTGAGTTTTTGCATATTTGTTAGCTTTTAGCATCTACCACATGCTTGGGCAAGGAGTTCCCCAGGTGTACTACCAACAGATATGAAGAAACGTCATATTTACTTTGAACCTCATCCTCCTACTGACCTTCTTTGACACCATGTATCTCTAGTACAGGAAGAATCAGGAAAAACTTCTCCCCTCTCCAACATGTGGTCTATAATTTCAGTCTTCTGAACTGTATTTCCCAAAATTGCATTTTTTTTTTCAGACTTAAGAGTCCTAACCTTAGTCACTTTGTGCATGGAAACTGTTCCATGCCTGTGATGGGTCTTGTTTTCTCCTCTGAACTTCTCCCAATATTATGTCACTTTAAGTGCCATTTAAAGCCAATACAGTTGTTTTAAGCATCTGTATTCTGAAAGGACACTGCTAATGAGTGA